ATAGGTTCAGTCACGGCGTGTCACCCCCAAAGAGTGAAGGTTAGCTGCCACAGATGAGCGTGCTGTAGTGGGCCCTTTCCCTCAGCCGTCCCGCGGTGGAGATGTGGGGTGGTGTTTCTGTGAAGGAAATTCCAGTTCCTCTAAAGAGGCAAAGGGTCTGAAACTGGCATTAAGAGCTCTCAGTCAGGACAGGACCCAGCGCTCCTGGACCCGGAGCAAGGTGGTGTGGGAGCCAACCATGTTGAAGGCACCCGTTTAATCCCCACCAGCACAATCCCTAAGGTGGTGTGTCCCTAAACAGACTTTGGCATGCCTCTGGGCAAACCAAGAGTTCCCACAGTTAAATGGCTGATTGATTGTCGGTACTGAGATCCTTAGAACATTTTTTTTCTCTTTTGAGAAGAGGAAAGCAAAGAACATGAAGATAAAGCAGTGGAAAGGTGAAAGCAGATGACGTAAGAAACAACAAGATGGAGAGAAAGCACATTCAAGGAAGATCCAATTCTCTCAATAGCAAACTAATGTATGCTAAGTAAGGGGGATAAGTGAAAGAAGAACAGGAAAGAGTGAAGAACAACAGAAGGCAAGGTATGGCAAGGAAAGGAGAGGGTAAAATGCAAGCAGAAAAAAATTAAGCAAGCAGGTCAAATAGTGCAGAGATGCAACTCCTTTGCCACATGTTTTAGCCTTTGCATTTCTGTGTCATGCTTTCACACTGAGCTGTGGCGTGGCAGCAGCCAGGCAGTGCTGGATGGGGTACTCCGGCAGAGAGTCTACAGAGCAGCTACTGCTGCTGTTGCCCACTTGCTGTAGCACTGGGACAAAGCCTGCCCAGGAACATTTGTCCTGAAGGTGGGTAAGTTTGTCATCAAGTCGCAGAATCACAGAATTTTTTTCCATCAAGGTTGGAAAAGACCTTGAAGGTCATCCAGTCAAGTCTGTTCAGTATAAGAGAAAGGCTCTGTTCAGCAGAGGGCTGTGAGAGCCACTGCCGTGGCTTTGCCCTGTGTGATGGGCGAGCGCCCGCGTAGCCCAGCGGCGGGTGGCACAGGACGGGCGGCAGGGCTGTGGTGCTCCAGGGCACCAGCCCAGGCGACAACCGCTTCTATGCTAAACAGCCATAAAGATTCAGTGGCACTGTTTGGTTTTTTTAAATGTCATTTACATTAGCATCTTATAATTGAATCAGTAGCACTTTACGGAAAAGGTTAAATTCTGCCTTTTAAAAATTAAATCAGCTGTTTAGCTGTCAACCACAGTCATGCCCTCCTGTTGCCTCAAGAAGAATGAAACATTGGCATATTGACATATAAATCGTATTGCTGGAGAATGCATTAACTCTCTTATTTATGACTGCATTGTGCCACAGAGTGATGCATCTTGTAATTGGGGGCTCTCTGCTGAATTCATTGCATGTAAAATCCATGGAAATCATTAGCACATCACATTTCCGTAATTAAAATATTTCCTACAGCATAGATTTGAAGACTCCCTGACTGCTGTACATTACTTAAATGCAAAATTTTATGAAAATTTAAATATAAGCACAACAAAGTTTTTATGCATGGAGAATATTTTTAATTAGACTCATTGATATATTTGGGAAAAGCATTCAAATTAGCTGGGTTGACCTATGAAAGCTTTATTTGGTGCTGATCACAAAGAAATGTGCAGCATTACACTCCTAGAGTGATCTTTGCCTTGCCGTCAGTGATATAACCAAATAATTAAAATTAAAGCTAGAATGAAGCATTCATAGGAACTGTTGGTTTCAGGGGATAATTCTTACTAATGTGATATTCCATTAAGAGTTATCCTAAGGTAACGTTAATATTTTGGTGATTTGCAGCGAGCCAATAAATAAACATTTTTTTTTAGTCGGAAGTTTGCAGTTTTAGATAGCTCTTGAAGTCAGACAGTTCTGCAAAACAAAGAATTTTAAAAAAATTCCCTCTCCCATTCTCTCTTCAGTAAAAAATACACCAGAATATTGCAGATAGGAAGCATGGAATGGTGCTTTAACTATTAGCTGTGTGTCTGAGAAGTCCATTTGTCTTGTTAAGGCTGTCATACTACATTAGCCTTTCTGTAACCCTGGAAACAACCTCCAATGCGGTGATATTTGAAAAGTCTAAAACATAACTTGCCCTTAAAATGCTATGAGTGTTTTTTGAGACTCCTGTATAAAGGAAGAAAAAAATCTTTTCCCTTTACAGAGGGCAATAAGCAGTGATGGATGTGCATTTCTTTGTGAGAAAGTTGATCCACACCTGTTGTAGGTGGGGTGAAAGATGATGCTAGCAGCATGGGCAAGTGTCCTCTCTCTTTACCTGCGCATAGAGTTCAGAAATCCTTCTCTCCAAGTGTTGCAGGAGAGGATTTTCAGGAGGCAATAAATAAATTTTGATCCCTCTGGTTAATACAGTTAAGGTCAAAGAGATTCTATCTGGAGCTATTTAAAATACTCTTAACATGTAGACATACTGCTGTCTGTAGTGCTAAGTGCCTTATCTTGCTGAGAAGTGTATACAACCCTTATGAAACTATTCTTAAGTATTCTGGTTACTATATTTAGCTCTGGCTCATAACAAGACAAAAAGCACTTAGCTAAATGTAGTCCTGAAGTGCTTAAGCCGGTTAAGAATATTTTGTCCTTAGGTGTCTTCTACTAAGACTTTTTGTAGCTCACCATCCTGCTGTATCATGCAAAAAGCTTCTCTGTGTGTTTGGGCCTGTGAATTCTCTCATGATCACTTATTCTGTTAGAGCCTCGAAGTCTGGCGTTGACTGAGGACATCTCTCACGTTCAATAGGAGTGTCCCATTGGGACAGACCCGGGAAGCCTCATTCTCTGCCCCTGGCAGCTTGCTGCGGCAGGATGTGATAGTTGCTACTGGAGAATCTGGGCTTCATTTCCCAGCTTAGACTCAGTGAGCATTAACTGGTCTGTTGTCTCTCTCAGCAACCAAACAGCTTCCCTCAACTTACTGCTATTCAAACTGGCTGGGAGGGCAACCACATGTACAAGGCAGAAAAATCCTTCAGGCTTCCCAGGGGTTGTCAGTTGTTAGGCAACCTGTGGGCAGTGTGAAGGTTTCTGCATAAAGCTTTGCACTCATAAAGCTCAGGAAGAATCTTTAGTTTGGCTGAATTTGTGTGTACTTAAGCCCATACAGAAGAAAATTTTCCTGAAAAATTGTGATAGATCTGTTTATTCACAAGCTTTTTTTATACTTTAACCTGTTGCTTTAAGAAGAATTTTCTTTATACCTGCGTATCTCCAAAATTATTACAAGTTAGCAAAATTTCTGTATAGGTCATTCTTCTAGTGGAGAAACAACTGTATGAGTTGAATAAAGCAGCACTGACCAATGAGCAACAGTGATTAAGATAAGCAACTCAGTTCCATGATAGCTCAATAGGGTAACAAATAAGATCACACGCTCCTTTTGAACTAGGATAAAAGCTCGTAACTTGACCAGTGTATTAGGGCTGTGAGAACAGCAGCATAGCAGATCCACCGTGTTTAAACTCGCTACACAGATGTTCTCAGTTGCAGCTACACTGAGGATATCAGGAGTTGTGTGAGTTTTTTTTTCCCTGGAAGTTCATGTTCCAAACTGAAAGTGATCACTTTGTCCCAACTGCATTTTTTACTGATTGACTTACCATTGAAACACATTAGGTATTTTATATGTTACTCTCATACTTCTGTTATGTCAGGAGGTTGAGGCCTCTTGCAGGTACCTTCCATATTACTGTTTACAATGACTGTATCACACTTTATCTGAGCCAATTTTTTTGAGCAAATGGACTGACATAATTTCGTTTAGCTGCAATGAGCAGGAATTTGGCTCGTTGTCTCACGATACTCACATAAACCTCCCCTACAAAGCACTCTCACAGTATCACTGGTTGGGATCTGTGTTGCTCACGGTATTTAGCAGCAGCCCCACAGTGCCAGCCCCTACCCTGTCCCAGCTGCCCTTCCCCGCGTGCCTGCCTGGCGTGTGTCTCTTGCAGTGGTTCTTCAACCACCTTCTTGTGTTTCCTCCCTTTGAGGTGTTTTCACTAGCTGGAGGAACAAACAAGCTCTTTCTAGTCTTTTACATGATCAAAAATGTTGAGGTATGTTTGCTCGTTCACCGTGGTTACAAATATGTCATCTCTGGTCGTGGCAGCGAGTTTTTTGTGGTGTCTTGAGCTGATGTTAGCTTGTACTAATGGTAACAGATGAAACAGCCATGAACCTGGGTTCAGAGCAGGGAGGTCACTTTAAGGGCATCAAAAGCTTGTTAAATTTGGAAGCCCAGCACTTGGCTGTTGCTGAAGATATTGCTGTCCATCATGAACAGTCTGGTTACATTCATGTCCTTCCTGAGAATGAGGCTCATCTGAAGCCAGACAAGTTTCAACAGTGATGGTTTCAGGGATGTGAGCACTATAGTGTGGGTGTAGTCAGGAGTTCAGGATGTTCATTAGTAACTGTTTAAACTGCAAACAAAAAGGAGATGTGTGTCTTGTCAGTAGCAAATCTTAATGGGAGGCCTTAAATCCATCCGCAGGTGGGTGATTGTGGCTTGAGCTGACCACGTTCACCTCAAAGGAGAGTTTTGGTTGCATGATTGGGTAGATGAAGGATGGATCATACCTGCTGGTTTTCACAGCATCCATGCCATGTAAACTTTGAAGGGACTCCAATCAATCCTCAGTGGCCCCAAGCTAGTAGGGCCACTCCTCCACCCTGCTGGGCCACATGGCTTTTTGGACACAAGAGGTCAAGTTGGCCTTCCCAGGCTGCTTCTGTGGATGCAGGTGGTGCACACAGAGCCAGGAGCCCCAGAACATGGTTCCTGGAGGCTTTGCTGAGCTTTCACCAGTTGTACTTGAGCATGTTTCTAACTTAAGAGTGGTAGACTTTTTCAGTTTGAAGTGATTGCTGCTCTCTAGGCTAAGTCATCCTGCAACTGTGTTTTAACTGGATTTGCTTTTCCTTTCAGGATTAATTTTTCTCCGTCTCTATTTACATGGTGATAAGAAGTGCTAATCTCTCTCCATCAGTCTGGACTGATGAATCTGAGGAATAGAACAGGTAATTTCTAATTTGGCTTGTAGCTTTCAGTGTTTCAGGCAGTGAGAACCACTGAATGTGGTTCTCCATGAGGAGGGCCTCATGGAGCATGCATATTTTGGGACAAAAGAAATCATACAGTTTCTTCTGCCCAGGTCATCTGCAGGGTGGGAGATTCTTGCCCTGAAGCAGGAAGGGAAGGGAAAATTTTTGTAGCTTTTACTGTGAGCAACATCTTTGACTTTCTGTCAGTTCTGGGTAGTTTTATTTCATGTTACTTTTGTAGCCACCAAGTTGTTTGAGCTTGTTTGAATTGTCTGAGCAGTAGTTTGAGAAGGGAAAACATTTGAATATACCCACTGAAAAATGCCCCTTGGGTGCTGGGCAGGGTGGGAGGTGAAATGCTCATTGGTGCTGATGCTGGGGATGGGTGCAAATTCCTCTTTGGAGGTGTCTGAGGGGGGTGCAGCCCAGCAGAGCTGACCCAGACGACGCAGTGTGGAGTGGCAGCAGCTGTCTTGACTGCATCGCTGGCTCCCTTGCCTCGCACTTAGCCCATCTGAGTCACAGAAAGCTAGTCATCAGTGAAGAAGCTACCCTCATGTTGAATTTTCCATCATTTCACGGGGGTTGACAGTACCGTGTCCTTACTGAGAGTTGTGGCCAACTGTTCTCCTTACCTGTGCTGCAGGAACAGTTAGATAAGTAAAGACAGCAGCCTGCAATGACTGCTGTGGTGCAGGAGCGTACAAAACCCAGGGAACCTGGGTCACATTCCCTTCTTTTTCCTGGTTAGTGCCAGATGAGGAAGCTTTAACTTGAAGTCGTGAGTATGAATCCTAGTGGTAGGACACAGCTCAGATGAGATGGTGGAAGTCCACCAGCACAAGCAGCAGTCATTGGCTGCAGGATGCTTTGGATGAACCTTTCTATTATATCATCTCTTAGATGTCCTCATAGTACCCTGCTGTTGCCTAATACTAATCCTTTGGGAGATTAGCACAGTTTCCCTCTTCCTCCTATGCCCTTCCACTGGGTAAGAAAGCTCAGATGCTTTTCAGGCATTGCAATGCTTGAAATCAACCGTCAGCCTGTTTGACTTCCCCAAACAGGACCAGGCACAGTGCTGTCTGGTACAGACATCAGAGTCAAATCAGCTCTCACATTAGTAGAGGAGATGCTGATTGCTATGCAGATTTGCAGAGGAGATGCTGATTCCTGTGCAGAGTTCAGTGTTTCAGCTGGGTTCCCCATCCTGTGGCAGAGGGGAGTACAAAGGCAGGCTGAGGGGCTGCTGGCTCTTAGCTCTTTCTAAAATCATGCTTATTATAGCTGTATGTTTGGGCATATAGCAGCGTTTTCGCTTCTCAAGCCTCAGTAGCTGAGAAAACAAGCAAGAAACTACATAACAAGAGTGTAGTTTGGGAAAGGGAAGATTGAAACATGCAGACCGTCATAAAGTACAAACCAGTAAGCTCTATATTCTGCCATCCTCAACAATGTCTCAGTAATATGTCTCTGTAAATAATTCTCTTTTCCTTCCAGAGCCCTGTGTTGTGTAAACGAACTGATGGATGAAGATGAGAAGGACAGGGCAAAGAGGTATGAAGGGATGCACAGAGCACAGAGAGTGGAAGCTCTCTTAGGGGAGAATTGTAAATGCTGTGTTGTCCAATGCTTCAAAAAGTACTTGGGACCACTGATGTCAGAGGCAACCCCCCCGTGCAGTTTACAGACTGTATAGCAGACCACAAACAGCATAATTCAGTCACCACTTCCAAGCTTCTCAGTGTGTTTGACCATCCCTACAATGGGTTAATCAGCTGAGTGGCCCTTAAATTATGTTGTTGTGCCCTCAGAATCTCATGTTATCCCATGGCTATTTGTTATCTTGATGCAGGACTCCTGACCTGTGATTATTGGCATCATGCAGTGCTGCCCACCTGGGGTAGAGTTCCCTGTGAAACTTAGAGAACAGTCCTGCTTTAGCACAGGTAGGAGTTAGTCTCCCTTCAGAGAAGCGTTTGGCTCAGTTCTCATTAGTCATCGTACACAAGTGCCAAAACAGAGATGACTGTGAACATAAATGCTGGATCTGAGAACCTCCAAATGCCGACCTGAATATGAGTGGAAATGCTTTCTACATACCACACTCAATCTAGATCGCAGGAAGCATGTATCATTATGACTACACTTGTAAAGAAAATTAATTACTACTCAAAGAGGTGGCATGAAAATAGGGTTATCTCAGATACGAGCACTGGAAAGAGCATTTTGAGAAGAAACTGAATGGATTTTCTTTCTCCTTTATTGTTTTTAATGGAGGGGAAAACTCTAATAAAACATTCTTGAATTGTATTAATGCAAGCTGGAAACTAGTCTGTGGTTTCTGCAGCTAGACTCTTAACATTCCCAATTTCATATTCTGGCAGCAGCTTTTCAAAACCAGATACAGAGAGCATGTGCTTGACTTTATTCTGCAGTCGTCTCTGCACAGTATTGTCTCTTGATAAGTTGCTTTTGCAAGTACAAATCAGGGAATAAAGAATCCATCACATTTTGACCTTTAAATGTGTGTGTACTATCTGCAAAACAAAAGTTCATAAAATGAAGTGGTCAAAACATGAGCATGTAGATGCCAGGACTTCTCTTACTGGAGAAATTTTGCGCATAACACCTTCAGCTCATTATCACCACTTTTGAAACGGTGGGAACTGCTGCTGACATGTATGTAAGGATATGGTCTTGCTCAAATTAATGTAAATCACATTTGTTACCTTCAGGTGTTGCTCGCCGAGGGTGAGTTCAGTCCTGCTGCAAGGCTCTAAGCAGCAGCAAGGCGCTTACACCCAAGTCTAATTTTAAACAAAGATCAGTCCCAGCAGAGTTTAGATTCTTGTATTTAAAGTGTTTTGCTGGTGCAGGGCTATTTACCTCTCCCTGAGCTGAGCTGTAGTCCTTCACTTTACTTAGCAGCGTTTATGTTTCTGTCACCCAGGGCATCACGCAACAAATCTGAAAAGAAGAGGAGAGACCAGTTCAATGTCCTCATTAAAGAGCTTTGCACGATGCTGCAGGGCCACGGCCACCCTCTCAAGATGGACAAGTCCACAATACTGCAGAGGACCATTGACTTCTTGCAGAAACAGAAAGGTACTGGAGGGTGCTGGCCAGCTCCTGTTGAAGGCACTGGCTCGGCATCTGCCCAGCAGTCAGTTTCCACTCAGATGAAAACTGCTTTTCCCAAGCATCTCAGACCTCCAGAGAAGGCATGAACCTAAGTGAGGGTCAGAATAAGGCACAGCATTTGGCCTCAGGGAATGGGCTAGGTATGAGTACAGTGCTGACCAGTTAAACATGGATATACTGGAAAAGATGCAGTGCTGTACGATTTTTAATGTAGTGGCATTGCTCCATTTCCCTCGCTGGCCTCCTCATCCCCTGGCATGCTTTGTGTACTCTCAAACAAGGCATGAGGGAGGAAGAGCTGAGGAACAACTCACTCTACAAAAGCTAGGGGAAGAGGGTTTCTGTGCCCTATTCCCAGGTCTCCTGGGGTAGAAGGTGACTGGGCACAGCCTGTCCTGCTGCCTGGGCACTCCTGTGAGCCTTCCTGAAGCAGCCTCAGAGTCACAGACACCCTCTGCTCCCAGTGTTGCTCAGCTACTCCTGAAATAAGCCCACTGACCTTAATTTTTGAAGGATTTCTTCAGACCACCCAAAATGTCTCCTCTTCCTTTTCTTGATTTCTAATGCATTTCTGTTATCATAGTGTGGAAAATGACTTGCATACAAGAAGGCTTTGTGTGGAGAATGATCTGAGGATGATTCCTCTGAAAGCCTCTTAGAGGAAATCTAGTGTTACTTGAAAATGGAAAAAAGAAATCCAACTAGCATGAGTCATGTTGCTTTTTTGATGTTTTCTCTTTAAGAAATCACAGCACAGACAGAAGCCTGTGAGATTAGACAAGACTGGAAGCCTTCATTTCTTAGCAATGAGGAGTTCACCCAGTTGATGTTAGAGGTAAGAAGAAATTAAAGCTGCATAGATGAGCGAGAAGTAATCAGTTCAGTGGAGTAGTTCAGAGACGTATAGTCTACAGGTGAAAACCCGTAGGTCCCAATGTTAATGATTTCTACTCTACTGGCACATATAATACAAACCTGACAGAGACCAAGGTTCTGCTAAATGCTTTGCAGACACAGAATTAAAAATATGATTGCTTCCCCTTAAAGTTTTTCATTTAGGAATTAAGAACAATTTGGCCCAGATTTGGCTTGGTGAGAGAGGAAAATGAGAAGTGCCCTTCCCAGAAGAGCCGCTAGAGCTATCAGTTTTAGCAAAAACTTGAAAGGACCTGAAAAAAGCAGAACAGCGCTCTTCCTCCCACATCCCATTAGCCAGGCAGCGTTTACTTTACTGCCTTTGCTGCTGCTAGCTGTGCAGTGCCGTACTTGTGATGTGAATGCTGTGTCTTTTGCTTGGCTTGTCTTTAAGTGCATTCAGGAGAACAGCTCTGATACCTCTAAAATGCTTAGCTGATCTAGAAACACCCCAAGAGCTTACATTTTTCCTTTCTTAAGGATGCAGCTTTGGGTTTGTGCTGCATGCTCCTCTGGCAAGGATGTCTCCTACCCTGCGTGGGCAGCTGTTGCTCTTTGCCCCACCAAAATAAGGGTGTATGCTGGGCTGAGCTGGGAGGTGCTGCAGTGTCTTAGTTATTCCTTTTCATCAGGATGTCATGACTCACCTCCCTGGAAAAATCTGTTCATTCTTTCTGGGAATTTCTCTCACCAAACAAGCTAGTTTGTTCCAGCTGAATCAAAACAAATTCCCCCCCGAAGAAGTGGTGGAGGAGAGAGCCCTTGAATAACTGTTGACTTTCGGGGCTATGTTAGACAGTTGACCATTATTTAAAATCAGTGTTTTTTTCCAGAGACATCTTACTTTCAGCAAAGGCAGAGTATGACAGTGAGGTGGGGAGGACAGTGAATGCTGCACCTTTGGCTCCCTGTAGCTAAGCTGCAGAGCAGCCTAACAGTGTCTTTAGAAGAGTTGGCTTTGTGCATGGTGCTGATCAGAGGTTAAAACTCACAGATATTGGTAAGTGTTAGAGAAGAATAAGGTCAGGTCAGACACTGGATCAATGGTACAAGAAGATGTTTTGAAGAATAGGGAGAACACCCAAAGAGGAAGGCACATGCAGTGACTTAAAAGGGACAGAGAACTTTGACTCCAGGACAGAAACCATTGTTAATAAGAAAGGGGAAAAAAACCCAAGTTTAAAATTGTTGTGTCACTAGCATAAGAAATGAGTGCTTTACATAAATAAGGCTTTAGATCTTGTCCATATAGTCCTTAAATACAGCATTGTATAATTTTTCTGTCTCTGCTTATCTGTCTGTCCATCCATCTATCTACAATGCTGGGTTTGCCATGATGATATCTATCCTTACACACCAAATTGGTTAACTATTGTGCAACTCAGAACACATAATGAAGTGACTGAAGTCACTGGGATTGTGTGGGTGTAGAAATCTAACCATCACTGTCTTGCTTCATGTTAAATAAATACTCCCTGGGTGAGAAATACAAGTCAATTTAATATTAATGAGCAAATAAGGGTATAAGAAGAATGTTGAATTAGACTGCATGTGTAATTTTTATTTATCTGCATTGAACTATCATTTCCATCATTGATTTATATTAGTTTTAGGCTGCTAGAAGCACCACAAAAGAATAAAATTAGCCTCTTATAGTTTAAGTTGTTCCCTTGCACAATTCTTTTTATTTTTTTCTTTTTTGCCTGCCTTTTCATCACTAGGCACTAGATGGCTTTCTCATTGCTCTTACCACTGATGGGATTATTATTTATGTATCTGATAGTGTTTCATCTCTGCTTGGACACTTACCGGTAAGTTCTGACCACGCAATACGGTGAAGAATCATTCCCCTGCCTTAACGCAGTCCAGTCACTGCAGGGCTGGGGCTTGTTTTTGTCCAACCAAAGAGGCAACTAACAGTGGGTGGGGGATAAACCAACAAACTCAGGGAGTTTCTCAAGCTCCTGTGAGTAACATATTCTCTCTCAGGGTCTGCGAGTTAGCTAAAAAAACCCCTATGAGAAATCATTATACCCATAGCTCACTACTTGGTTGTGCTTCTGAAGGATGGTCTGAGTGGTATTTATCCCACCAGATATATGGAAAAATCTCATGCTTACAAAATTCGTGCATGCTGAAGCTCTCCTCACATAATTTAAAGATTATTTCAGGTCCAAATATATACTTTTCCAATGTCATTGTTTTCTTTCACTTTGACCCCATCATCTTCGGTAACAAATATGTGGCCTCAGAGTTTTCTGGGAGAATTTCTAGACATCAGTTGGCTGTTGGATACAGAAGTTTCTGCTGGCCCCTCAAAAACATTTTAAATTTTTATCTGGTGCCAAGCATGAGGCACTAGTGATGCCATGTGAGGGAAGATTTGAGCACACAGTTAACCTGGCTGAATGTCATGGTGTGCTAAGAAACAAATACATGCTGACATTTTAGCAGAACCCCTTTAGTCAGGATGTGTGGGTTTATCAGCACTGACACACTTGCAGGTTGAGCAGATTTTGACAGCTGTTCAGCCCAGAAGACAAATGGAGGATGTGAGGAGGAGCTCTCCCACTTCTGTCTTGTGCTTCCAAGGGGAAATGTTTAAAATTTTCATTTTGATATGATATTTCTCATCATGTTATATTCCTGTGGTACCGGGATTCTTCTCCAGCTTGCGTCTGGCTGAACTGAAGGGCAACCTCTGGGTCTGGGACCCATTCAACCTTTTGCAAATAGATAGCAACCCTGGGGTAAAATAACCTAAGGGTTATATTCTGCCCTAGATCCATCTGCAGATTGACTGGGCTTCCTTGACAGGGCTTCCTTGTCTTAAGCATCCATGCTAGACCGGTAGCATCTGTGCTCTGATGTGGGTGAAAGGATGTGTAGTTGTGTCAAGCTGCACTGCTGAACATGACAAAGCATTCTTTTGTATCAGTCAGATTTGGTGGACCAAAATATATTAAACTTTCTGCCTGAGCGGGAGCAGAGCGAGGTGTACAAGCTCCTTTCTCCACATGTGCTCATGACAGATCCTGTTGCAGCTGATTTTCTAAACGGTAAGCTCTGCTCTTGTCTGTTGGCCAGGGAAATTTGCCAAAGGCAAACAGCTCCCAGGGGAGCCTGCACAGGGCTCACCAGCTATTTAATTCTCCTGCCTGCCACTTCTGCTTCGCCACAGTTAGTATTTCTGGTTTTTAACTCAGCACATCATCTAATGTTCCTGCATGCTGCCAGTACTTCGTCTTTGATTTGCTCTCTGCTTTGCATCACAGGACAGTGAAACTGCCCTCATTAGATATTTTTCCCAGGGTGGAATGCTGGACTGAGCCTCTGAAAGGAGTGAGGGGCTTGGGAGAAGGAAAAGGATAGGAGAAATCCCAAAGGGTTTTGGCAGAATCTTTGTTCCTTAGGAAGCTTGTATGTCTCAGGACACCTGAAAAACCCTACATGTAACAGCCTTCCTATCTTAACAGTCTATCTGGGTCTCTATTGCTGGCTGCTGTTCCACCCTCAAAATATCCCTTTCCCCGAAAAACCATCCCCAGCACCAGAGCGGGCAGTGGCATCTTCCTAACATCCACATTCCACCAAGCCTATGTTGGAACCCCCTTTCCCAGTGGACTTGGCATGGCCGGGCAGTGCTGGCCTCCCCTCTCTGCTGCCCTGTAAGTGTCAGTGGGAACTGGGCAGCCCTGGTGCTGGTGCTCTGCTCTGGGGCTGGTTTCCCTCTGGCTGAAAGCTCCACAGAGTTCAGACATTGGGCAGAGAAGTGAATAAGAGCTTGGCACGGTTCCCTTAGGAACAGCTTAGGGTGACTTGAGTGCCCTTTGGATCTGGGTCCTGCTGGGTGGTGCCAGAGCACAGTTCTGCAATACCACTTAAACAGCTTTGCATGAAACTGCACGCACGAGGTCAGGGGAAAACACTACTGACCAATATTGCCAGGGCTTCATGCCCAGCGTAGCAGGGTGGCTGCAAAGCTGTGGGAGAAAGGGTAAGAATACATTTCCTTAAGCAGAACCAGCTGTTTATTGCTCCTAGTAGTTACATATTTACTTATGGGTATCAGGAGCATCCTGGCAGGGTGTATTCAGATACCACAGTGGTAGGGTTAGTATAAACACCAAGATAGATTGGATATATGGAGTGTGCTGAAGTGCAGACTTCTAGTAACATTGTGTATGCCTGCCTCTCTTTCTCTCATTTCAGTGGAAAAACAAATAGAGTTTTGCTGCCATTTAGCAAGAGGCAGCTTAGATCCAAATGAACCCCTGATGTATGAATATGTGAAATTTGTAGTGGATTTTAAATATTTTACTCATGGTAAGTCACTGCTCCATCCTACCTTTACCTCTCTTCCTTCTCTCCTTTAAGTTGCGTGTTGATCTGTAGCTTCCTAAAGGCCTTGTTTCAGCTGAAAATGCACTGTAATTGGCAGGGGTGGAATGAACTGTGGATATGTTGGAGGTATTTTTCATATAAAAGTGGTGGGGAGGCTGTGGGTCAGAAGAGCACACTCTTCTGCATGCTGTGTTTAAAGAACTGATGCCAGACTGATCCTACCTCCATTTGACCCACTGCCAACTGTAAAGCAGCCTACTTATTCAAATAACCAGTAAAACAGACTATTCTGTTTCACTTGTGGCAATCAAATGACACTTCTTAAAGATTAAATAGTTTGAGAAACCTGTAAAATCTTGAATCTTGCAAAAGTTGAGCTGGAAAAGGCTGACAAGGAGGCTGCAGCTGCAATGTGAGCTGCTCAGAGCTGTCTTACGAAGCTTCCCTGCAAGCCAGGGGCACGTGGTTACAGCTGTGTAACTTGGAGCCTAGAGGGTCATGCTTTAAATAACATCGGCGTGTATCAGTGTGGCATCACCTTGTGGGTAGGAGGAGTTTGTTGCTTGGATTTCATCAGTCATTGTACCTGTCTTAACATGAAAAGAAAGCTGTCCTTCCTCCTCTTCTTAAATAAATTGTCTGGTTGTGTCTAGTGCCTACACCCTCCTGTAATGGCTTTGAGTCAGCTATTGCACGAGCTTTCAGGTCAGCCACGGAGGAGCAGATTTGCCTTGTAGCAACTGTTCGTCTTGTCACACCACAGTTCTTAAAGGTGAGAGCTCTGCGACTGCCTCTTCCCTTTCATGTGGGGATCGGCCGGTGCTCAGCAGCGGAGCTGCTGCGGGTACCACGGGCACGGGCTCGGCTGCTGCGAGGGGAGCCGTGGTGCAGCAGCCTCTCAAAGAGCAGCACAGATCCTTGTGCAGAGGGTTGGTAAATGAGAGGGGACTCTGCTGTGTTTGGGAGTGGGAGATGACATAAATATATATTATGGAGTGATGAGATATGAAGCAGGAGTTGCTTTTTAGAAGAGGCAGTTGTGTGATGGGGTGTCTGGGAGCAGTCAGCCCAGCTGACCAGCTAAACTCCTTGAAAAGTTGCAGCCTTAAAAGAAATACATCCCACCTCTCCTTTGTGTAAGAAGGCCACCCGCATCTTGAAACACTGAACAACATGTTTCATGGACCCTTTCTGCTGCAATGTGTGTGTCCTGTGGCACAGGGCAGTGGTGACAGGGATAACGACCATGGGTGCTTCTTGCTCAAGACAGCATTAGGCAGCTCAGTTTGAGGCTGGACCTGGTGATGTCATCCATTTTCAGATACCAATATTTACAGAAAGCTGGGGAATTTTGCCTACAGACTGCAAGATGAGGCCCTTGGACTATTTATCCTAGCTTTGAAATTCAGCCCAGGGTAAATTATTCATCCACTTTTCATCAGCTTATGCATCTATGAAACAAGGCTTATACATTCCTTAGAGGAAAACAAGTCAAGTGCTTTAAAAGCACTGGGTTTTGCTAGGGTTTATTATACCAAGGAGATGCATCCTTGGTCTTGATAGAGGGCTACTTTTGTCATTTCATAGGATTAAATGTCTGAATGTGCCAACTGTTTTGCAGGAGCTCTGCAATGTTGAAGAGCCATGTGAAGAATTTACATCGAGGCATAGTTTGGAATGGAAGTTTTTATTCTTGGACCACAGGTAAGAGATTTGGTTTTAGTCACGGAAGAATAAACAAAGTAGTTTAAAAATAGAAAACTTTGTGTAGCTATTGCCTGAGATCCCAAGTAGAATAGCTCTAATTGATGCAACTGAGTAAGTAATAATGCTCTGAACTTACTTATTAATCATCTTTAAATGCTTTGCACTTTTCCATATTTTAGGCAGGTAAGAAACCATATAAAATGATGGGAATATGTCTAGAAAAATGTCTAACTTCACCAAGATATTAAATCATTAAAACTGAGCAGTGTGAGTCCTGTTCACTGGATTCATTTAGCTCCTTTGTTTTCCAGCTACAGCTTCCAGGAATCCTTCCAGATCTTTTGATGTGTCAATAAACTTTTGATTTTCACCTTGAGAAATAATGAAATTTGTAAAAATAAAAGAAAAATCAGATGATTAGGTTATTTAATTGCAGATTTGGTTTTGACAGTGTCATATGGTGGGCTAAGATTCAGCTTGGTGAATGAACTAGACTGGACCCACTTTATTAAGCTGATGAATATAGGATTCATTTTCTCCAAAAGAAAATGGAGGGTTTTGTTTACTCTTTTACCTCTCTGTATTTGACTAAGCATACGCACATTGCAAAATCCTACCCTTCTCATTATCCCTCCCTTTGCAAGCTGTGAAAAGGTAGTCATTACTAGAAACAGAAGACTAGTAAATAAGGCTGTAGGGAAAAAAAATATTTGGGATGAAAAAACCTAAATATCATCTGCACATTTAGAGGAAAGAGGTAGAGCAAATATAAATGAATAATAACTTGCATTTATACAGTAAGCAAGATGTGTACCTCACACATCATACCTTGAAGCATGGAAGAATTGTCCCTGCGACAGCCCTGCAGTTAATGCAGTGTGATTTGGGACAGTTGGCTTATTATTCATGTCAAGATCTCACTGGAGTGACCTTGTTAGACTTGAATTGGCCTGTCCAGTAATGCACGTTTTCAGAATCGGGTGATTAATGTTAAGATTCCTGAAAGAGTCCTAAGCCCCTTCCTCACTGATGGAGTGAACTGGTTTTCCAAAGGGCTGTGTCCCAACAGCTCCTGTGAATACAGCAAGCAGGAGCCGCTTTGAAACCTATCAAAGAGTCTTTTGATGAATCTAGGTTATGACACAGAGAGGAATCTCTCTGTGCTGGGTGCTTGCAGCCACTCTGGTCCCACTGATATCCCCAGTAAGGAAACCATTGTTACGGAGAGTAAATTAAGCTGATGCAGATGCTGAGGCAGTCTGTGACAGCCCCAGATGCAAGCGGTGAGCCCAGACCCAGGGATGAGTAGGGGATTGTGTGGGTTGTCTCATTTAATCACCAATTCAAACCTCTCTTATTGGGTATTTTGCTGTTTCTTGCTTATCTGCGTCAACTCACACTGCCTGACGCTGAGGTGTGCTGTGCTGCCAGGAGGGGCAGAGGGTACCCAGCATGAGTTGGAATCAGGACCTTTGCTATCATGATGAGAACATAAACTAAAGATAGATAATGCAGAAAGCACTCCATAGATCTGCATAAACATTAGAAAACTAGGAAATATCTGTGTTCTGGGTATACATGTAAATAAGTGTAGAGGAAGAAAACCTACCGACTTTCGTAATGGTCTATTTCTCTTCTGCACTGTGGTCCTCTCCTTATTTTCCCTTAATTTATTACAAGACTGCACTTGAAAGGTTCTCTGCAGACTCTGCATTTCCATTTGCACAGCGAGTCACAGGCCTCAAGGCTGGAACTTAAGCTAACAAGACACTTTTAAATCATTTCACAAGCAAGGCAGGTCCTTGTCAAATGGCAGATAAGGAGCAGTTTGGGGTTGCTTTCTCATTTAAAGAATTCTGTCAAAACTCAGGAAAGCAAAATAATTTCCTGATCAGCTTAAAAGTTTATTTGATGTGCATCTGAAAGACATTGTTGTCTTGAATATAAGCATGTCATTAAAGATAGGAGAGACACTGGTGTGTTCTGCCAAAGAGACAGCAAGGAAGGACAGTTTAATAAATACACATATTATCATCGTTAACAGAAATCTGGGTCACATGAGGAAAAGGAACACAGTGCTCTATGAAAAGTTATTTGAATAAATAAAGCTGTATTGTGGAGGAGACCACTGTGTACTCAGCATGCTCTGTTTCAAGAGGTTTGCCATCAGAGAGTGTGGAGGACTGGCTTTTCCAGCCAAGCCTTTGTGCTGGGACTCAGGAGCTCCTGCTCAGACCTTGGTCCTCCTGGGGCTGCTGTGGAGCAGATCCCTTGCTGTCCCTCCTTTTCCCTTGTTTCCCATTTAGTGAAAAACTGCTCGTGGCTGTGGAGAAAGAGGCTGTAGACCTGTCTGGGCTCTTTAGTTGAATAATCTATGCCCACCATGTCTCTCAAGAGTACAGATGTGGAGCTAGGTCGCTCAGCCAGGACAGAATTTCCCACATTAATATCCGGAAAACTCAAGACTGATCCACCCAAGTCTAAACGTATTTACACTTAAATAATTTTTGCTCATATTTTTGGCTACTTTATGGCATTCACCTTTGTTAAGAGGGCCACTCCACACCCCAAGAGAAAGGCAGGAGGAGAGGCAGGTTTGATAGGCAATGACACCTTCACACTGTCCTGGTTTTGAAGCATTAACCGTTTTGCTAACACACTGCCACCTTATTCCTGAGGAACATGCTGAACTTGGCAGGTGAGCCTCATGCTATCAGCACATCCAGAAGCCAAAACAAATAGGTGGAGCCAAATTAGCCCAAGTCCTGCCTCACTGTGGCACTTGGTGCAAACAGGAGTGTACTTGAGCGCTAGGGGACATAAGTTGGCATGCAGATATAGGGAGTAGAGGCAAAAATAGTGGTTTTATCCTCATATTTCAGTGTTATTTCATAATCATGAGCTAGTAGGCTCCAGCGAAGGCTGTCCATAAGCTCAGTGTTGTTAGGGCACTTGTTTAAAATAAAATATCTCACTTTGCCTAGAAAATGGAAAGTCTAGAATTACAGCAGAACAGTCAGGTAAATCATTGCAATGTGCCCATCTAATTACTTCCTCCATTCCTTCTCTACCTGCCATAGAAATAGCAGTCCTTAAAATCAGCCTCACGCCTATGCTTGTCTTTACTACCAGCATAAAAACTTTTTTGCTGGTTATAATTTCCCAAGATTTTTCATGGGAACAATTACTTTTTCTTTTACCCAAGCTGGTCCTGACACACATTGCAGCTTCCCACTTACTCTTTCTTCTACAGTTACTACCCAGATGACATTTACATCCAACCTACTGGATAATTTTACTTGAGCTCCAAGTTATTATGCACACGAACAGCCATAGCATTTCTCAAGCTGTGTGTCTCACAAGCATGAATTGAGTCACTTGCATTTCTCTACACCCACATAATGAATAGGCTACGAAACAGTAAACACACACCTTTTCATTTTCTCAATTTTTACTTCTCTCTCGCTGTTTTTTTTTGCTTGTATATGAAAATATATTGTTGTGTGTATGAAAATCCACTCCTGATTTCTCGCCAAGTGAACGTACGAGATGGTGGTTTTGGTTCTATCACAGTGTATCTGCCAGGATGTCAAAGTGTCAGATTTTGTGCTCACTCCCTGCCCTTTGCTTCCCTTCTAGGGCTCCACCTATTATAGGATATTTACCCTTTGAGGTTCTGGGAACATCAGGGTATGATTACTACCATGCAGATGACCTGGAGCTTCTTGCTAGGTGCCATGAACACTGTAAGTTCCTCTCCCTCTGCAGCATGCCTGTCTTTGATCTCGTATGTCACTTGTGCAAAACCTTTTGCTGTCATCGCTAAAGGCATCTTTATCTGGGGCGCAAAGGAATTCTCTCTTCCCAAGACAGGCTGTCACAGCTGAGTCTTACCTGGGAGGTTGAATCCCTGTAGAATTCACTCAGATCAGGAACTCTTGGTGCAAGTTTCCCAAATTGGCAGATACCCTGTTTGAGCACAGGTTGTCTGAGAGTGAAATGAGATTAATAAATGGGAAGTCAGAACTTTCCACCCTCTGCCCCCAGTTGGTGAGGGCAGCCCCAAACCTTGTGAGTTTTGTTGATTGTCACAGTTCATGGGGACTTGCCAGGAGGCTCAGCTCACCAAAATGCCTTCTGAAAGCAGTATTTGGATAACCTGCCTGTACAATTAGGTGTTGTGAACCTCACTTACGGTTAGTAAAACGCTTCCAGAGATTCAGACTCTTTTTTAAATACAAAAGTACTGCAGAAAGATTCCATGTGGGTGAAGATGGCTTGGTTTTGGTCAACCTGAAAGTAAAGCAGAGAAGTCCAGTTCAGACTGATGTGGGAACACCAGAGAATATCCATGAAGTTCATCTTTGTGCGAGGTGAAATACCGTGATCTGCAAGAGCCCAGGGGGACCCAGGTCAGAAGGAGCACTTAACCCGAGTACTGCGGCAAGGCAGCCCGCTGCTGAAGAGCCATGTCTTGCTGAAGGCTGGGGCTGATGTGAGGAGGGGCAAAAGGTGGCAGCAGATGTGGTCTACTGTTAATCAGTGTGCTGTTCCTCCCAGAGAAGCATGTGAGATGCTTTATCCCTGAGACTGTATTTTTTCCATTTTATTCCATGTGTTTCAGGCTGAGATATTGAGCCAGCACTAGGTCTGTCCTCCATCTGGTTTGCATCGCCATGCACTGTAATGAAAAGTAGCTCTGCACTTTGTAGAGTGCATCTAGGTAATCAAATATTTTGCCATAAAAATATTACTTAAAGGTTTCCTGTTGGGCAAACTCTGTGTCTGTTTGTCTCTGCTATCTCTGAAAAGAGAGTGTTTTGTCAAAAGGAAACAATGACACCCCAGAGAGTGGAGAAAGTGGGATGCTGTAATTACTCTGAGATATAGAGCAGTGTGATGGAGGGACACCAAGAAACTCCACAGTCCCCCCAGCACACTGGACCTAGACAAGCTTTCATCTCTGAGTTACAAACCACCCCCGTCTCCACCACGTGCTCTCTACCACTTACACCTAGAAGATGCTAAAGGACAAAGTAGAGAATGGAGAAAATGACTTCTCTGAATGTCAAGTTTCCCCACTCCACGTTCCTGAAGGCTTTTCTGCCCTGTCAAGGCAAAGTGCTGGTGCAAAACAGGCGGGGGGAAGCGGGTGGCCCGGCTGAGCACACGAAGGAAGCTGTGAAAGGGGCTAGACACAAGTTGTGTCAAGTGCAGCAAGCATGTAGACAGAAATATTAAAGGAATATTTTAATTGCTCTCAAGTACAGTACTTTTTAGTGCTGTTTGCTTAAAAGACCATTCAGACAGAAGTGGGCTATTTAACTAGATGATGTCCTTTTAAAGGTAATATATGCGTGCAGTTTGACGTAGATGCTAACTATATTGAGAGTGGGGTCAGGAGAGAATCTATTTAGTGATTTATGTTCTACATCTCCACTAGCCACAGATCTCATCTTACATACTAAGAGAGTCTTTGCACTACACACCTGAAGGAAAGGATCTTTTAATCTTACTATGCAGGGGTGCAAAGTAAGGTGCTGGCAAGGTGACTTATAGAAGTTGCTTCAGGAAATCTCTGCCAGGACTAGGAGCTGAGTGATCCCCAGCACGGTGTGTTAGCCAGAAGACCTTTGCTAAGTGCTTCATCTAAAGCCCAGCAGTGTTAATGGGATTACTAAATAAGTTAGTCCTGACATTTAACAAAGTAAAGGTGTGCGGGTGAGTAGAAATACTTGGGTTAGTGTGGCTCAATAAGTTCCCGTTCATCTAGTTGACCGCTCTGGGCAGACATCTTGCCTACTGTGAAGTGAAATGGGTTTGCTTAAACCACTTTTGTATTTTACTTTGCATTAATTATGGGTATTTTAAGTGAGCATGTTTCATTTTGTAGTCCCAGCAGTCTGGGAACAATTAATGTGGTTATTTAATGTAGTTCTCATTATTTTCCAGTTGTATTACATCACTTGAGATTTTTCTGGTCATCACTCAGAAGAAAACTCTCAGTTAAACTGCTAAACCTCCACTATCTTATAGTTTTGTGCCATTATTAGGATCCTGACTTCAAGCCCCCAGTCTTTTAAATGCATTTTCATGTACTTGTGAAAGGCCAGTATCTAGTTACATAGTTATGACAATTCATAGTTATGAGAACATTCTCAAAATAGCGAAGTACAGTCTTGAAAATCAGTAGCAGAAAAGAACCCAGCTCAGTACATGCTTGTGTATCATCTGTCATGTTTATAAAGCCGCCAGAGCCATTTTAGTGCAGTAGCAAACTGCAAGAGGGACATGGGACTGAGTCGTTTTTCTAATCGCCTTTGCACCATGAAATTCCTGTTTGCTATAAATTGCTTTCTTGTTTGTTTAACAGTGATGCAGTTTGGAAAGGGAAAGTCCTGTTACTATCGGTTCCTGACCAAAGGCCAGCAGTGGATATGGCTGCAGACACACTACTATATCACCTACCACCAGTGGAATTCCAAACCCGAGTTCATCGTTTGCACTCACCTGGTTGTTAGGTAGGAGCAAGCACCAAACACTTCGCAATGCATGTCCCATGTGCTCGACCATTATTTTTTCTAGTTCTGTTTTGTGTTAGCCAAATATTTTCTGTGCATATTGACACGCTAAGATGGTATGTAATTCTATTAAACTATTATGACTGGGAATATGGGGAAAAGCATAATATGTTTTCACTACTCACTTTTTTTTGGCAATGGGGCCAAAAGCCTGGAAGCCACCATTGGCCTGGTCTATCAGTGTGTTAATTCCCTTTTTATACCTATCAATGATATGGCCATAGGAAGAATTAAAGCTGTTAAGAATCAGATGGTTTTATGGGCATGAATGGGATCATACATCTCCTACAAAACGTTTTGATCAGAGCTTTAAATATTTGTGACTTGAAGTTAGCTGCTGTCCTGCTAGCCTTATCCTCACCTGAAATTCAGCCCAGGATCCCCCTCTAGTGGGAAGCTGCTTGTGCTTGGATGCAAACCTGTGTTGTAAGGCAATGCGTGTGTGGGATGTTCTGTGATACGCACCTTCTGGAGGGAAATCTGCTTGATTACCACTGTCATCTCAAAAAAGATTTTGTAAGACTGAAAATATATTTACTGAAGGTCTTGAAAAAATAGTGACTTACTGGTTTGCTCTGTTAACTTGAGTAAACATATTGCTCATGGCATCTTTCTTTACTGTCAGGAATCAGTTTGTGAAGTTTTTTCTGGTCCCTCTTTTTCTTGTCAAATATTTAGTCAACTGGGATTCTTGTCTGTATTCTGAAACACAGACTGCACCTTACACCACTAAACAGGTGTGATTAAAGCTGTGTGTGCTGGTATAGACTACAAGCCTTATCATAAGCAAACATTAGACAGAGAGATTGCTTCCAAGTTGTGTGGCTTCTGCTGTCCTTCAGGGACTTTGGCTTCACTTCAAGCCTGAATTTACTGTGCATGAACTTGTTTCTTCTTTCTGCTTCTAGTGCCTCTTAAACCTAGTGATATAGTCCTAAACAGATTTTAAATTCAATTATGTCTCATATAGTTAAGGTATAGATTATATTGTTGAAATACACAAGATAAAATATGATTAAAAATTATTGTTTAAAATGATATAGGTGAGTTCAGTTTAGCAACTTCTCTTGCCTCCCACGAGGATCATGGCCCATTAATATTTCAGCACCCTAAATTCTGGCACCTTTCAGTGCCCATGATCCACAAGCACTCAGTATCTTTAAAACACCTTCTCCAGTTTATCCCAATGGTGAATCATGTGGCATTGTTTACTGTAAATATTTTATTATTTAAGAGAAAAAATAGTAAGGAAAGAAAATATACACTTTAAGAGGCACATTCCTGGGGATTCCTGAACCTTGCGTTGCAGCTTGGCAGCCGTTGGTTTGTATTCAGAGCTTCCAATGGAGGGAGGGATGTTAACTCTGCTGTAGCACACTGCTCGGTGCTGTGGGCACCCTCAGAAAGAGGGGATCTGACCTCCTCCTCCCCACGGCACTGGCTTAGGTCTCACTGAGCTACCATACAACATGCAAAAGCTTGATTCTGGATCGTCAGCAGGTTAGAAAATGTATGTACATTTGCTCTGGCGGTTTACCTGCACAGAAGCTGTAGGATCATTCTTCTGCCTGATTATGGAAAATGGGAATGTCCTTTATTAGGAAAATTGTACTGAGGACAAAGACACCGATTTTATCTTCAGTAACCAAGTGCACTTTGCTTATAGATCAGTTTTGCTTAAAGGCATCCAGGGCCAACATTTACGAAGGAGGGTCTACGTTTGTGCTTGGAATGACTAGTGCAGTTAATCATGTGGGCTCTGCAGTCCTGGGTGCAGTGGGACTGGGACACTGCCCTGTTGTTTCTAATCTGTGGATATTCAGCATGTGCTGTTGTTCTCTGATTGCAAGGCTGTATGGTGATGGTCCTCTAAGCACCTTGTGTATGAGAGAGTGTGAATGTGTGCTGCACAAAGCTTGTTACTCAACATGGAAACTCCATAGTGACCTGTATGGTAGGATAGCTAACATAGAGTAAACAATATCCAGATTTAAAAACCCAATAAATTTTAAATCCCAATTTTTCAGTTATGCGGAGGTTCGAGCTGAAAGAAGGCGAGATCTTGGCCTTGAAGAGTCATCAATTGAACTGGCATCCTCTTCTCTAAAGGTACCATGTCCCTTCACAGTTGAATGACCAGGTGTTTAAACCAAACTGAGTAACCACTTACCAATCTTAGGAAAATATCTGTTCTTTCTTCTCCTTCTTTACTCCCATCTCCTTCTAAGCCTTCAGTTGGGTTATGACTCAAGCAGACCCTGAGAAGTTTTCCACTGCGTGGCTCTAAACTTGCTTATCTTGGTTGGGGATATAACTGCAAATTCATCAGTTGTATTGCTGCTGTTCTATTCACTATCCTGAGACCGTTACTCAAACAATAGGTCAAACCACCTCAGTTGAGAAGCAGAAGAGTAGAGCTGAAGGCTAGATTGCTGTACCTGTCACTGTTAGTAAGGCGCAGAGGATCCGAGCGCAGGGCAGCACCACATGGTACCTGTTCTGTCAGGTGCCAGCTCGTCACTGATACTCAGACAAAGATCGGAAGTGAAGGCAGAACACTTATTCCAGTCTTCAGCTCTGTTTACACCATTGGGCAGGATTGCATCAAGTGTAGGACTGTGACCAGAGCAATAATTTCCATGGTTTGAATCAATCTGGCATCCCAGCATCCCAACACACCTGCCCAGTTAACAAGGTCATTTTAATTACTTTTACATTCTTCGTCTCAGTAGTTTACAAATAAGACCAGTGATCAAAGTAATTTCAAGCGAATTGTTGTGTAATTATCATTCCATTAGCCTCATTGCTCTTCAGACATTATTTTACAGAAGCCATTTATGGGATATGTAGGGGAAGATGTCCCAGAGACATTTTGCATTTGAGCAAGGACCATCTTGCAAATTGCTTCTCTGTCACCACAGAGAAGAAAAGACACTCTGTGTCTTTTTCCCCTTTTCACACGATAGCTGAGATATTTTTCTGCAGACCTTAAGTTGCATCTGTTGATGTAAGGCAGCTGGAGGAGAGGCAGAGCTTGATCTTCTGAAGGGGAGTGGGAAGCTGGGGAGCTCCCTGGGAGACATGGGGAGGGTGGTGGCATGGTCATCATGGTCACCCACGTCCTGATGGTGAAACAGTCTCCTACTACCCAACAGTTATAGGCTGTTTGCCATAAACCATCTGCCAGGTGGCATCTGTCATTTTGGTGTGACAGCTCCAAAGCTGTTAATATTCACTAGCTGAGGCTGTTCCCCGCTGTGGATGTGCTGCCAGGTTCCTGCCTGAGCAGCCTGCCGGCAGCGCTGCTCCCCAGGGATCAGCTCTCAGCATCACCTGGTACTGTCCCCCACAGGAGCTGTTGGCTCTAGGTTCTCCTCAGGCTGCAGCTGATGTCGCTGTGCCACTGCTCCATGTCCCTTCCCAGCTACCTCTCCATCTCTTCAATGAATAGAATGATTCCCCAGCCAGCCCCTCCTGCCTTCATTCAGTACCTCTGCCACCACCCCACGCTGCGCCACGGCCAACGAACTGTGACATCCCTGAAAGAATCGGGCAGAAGGAAGCTAATTATAAAAGCATGTTTCCATCTGCACTCAGGTCCATGGGCAGGAGAGCAGGAGGGTGGCACACTAGAGCGTTTGTGTCCCCTCCACCGCCACTTGCTGCTGCCATCAGACGGGTGTCCCGTGACAGAAATGTGTGGCTTTGCCCCAAAGCCGGGGGTGCCTGGGGTGTGATCCTGAGGGTTCTGTCTGCAGCGGGGTGCCTGAAGGCTTTAGGGTGAATACTGAGGGGCCGACCAGGGTTTGGTGGTGATGCTGCAGTGCTGGCCCTCTGCGCACCCAGACTGTTGTTTTCTCCACAAAGAAGCGGTCAGGGAGGTGGAGGTCCCCTCCAGCACCATCCTCTCCTGCTGACAATCTCACCGCTTGTGCTTCGCTCCCCGCAGAGCCACAGCAGCTACCTGGACGTGGGGCAGTGCGGCAGCAGCCAGGACGCCAGCCGGGAGGGAGTGTCCCTGTCGTCCCACAGCTCCCGGCGCTCCTCGCACACCGCCCTCTCCGACTCGGCCTGTAGGTGCCAGCGCAGCCGGGGGCAGCCCAGCGTGAGGGCAAGGAAGGGGGCTGGAGGGCAGGGCGGCCTCCAAAATACCGGGGTTCGGCTGGGGGGGTGACAGGCAGGGTGCGAGCGGGGTTCCAAGCACCAGGGCTGACTTACTGTGCTGTAACACGGGCCGGGGCAATCCCAAGCACAGACACAGGCTGGGTGAGGAGGGGATTGAGAGCAGCCCCAAGGAGAAGGACTTGGGGGTCACAGTGGATGGAAAACTGACTGTGAGCCAGCAATGTGCGCTCACAGCCCAGAAAGCCAACCGTGTCCTGGGCTGCATCCAGAGCAGTGTGGGCAGCAGGGCGAGGGAGGGGATTCTCCCCCTCTGCTCTGCTCTCGTGAGACCCCCCTGCAGTGCTGTGTCCAGCTCTGGGGCCCCTGGTATAAGAAGGACATGGACATGTTGGAGTGAGTCCAGAGGAGGCCATGAACATGATCAGGGCTGGAGCACCTCCCCTGTGAGGACAGGCTGAGAGAGTTGGGGGTGTTCAGCTGGAGAAGAGAAGGCTCCGGGGAGACCTTATGGCAGCTTCCAATACTTAAAGGGGGTACAGGAAAGCTGGGGAGGGGACTCGATTAGAGGGTGTAGGGATAGGATGAGGGATAATGGTTTTTAAATGAAAGAGGGGAGATTTAGATTAGATCTAAGGAAGAAATTGTTCCCTGTGAGGATGGTTAAGTACTGGCACAGGTCACCCAGAGAAGCTGTGGCTGCCCCCTCCCTGGCAGGGTTCAAGGCCAGGTTGGACGGGGCTTGGAGCAACCTGGGCTGGTGGAAGGTGTCCCTGCCCATGGCAGGGGGGTGGAATTAGATGATTTTTAATGTCCTTTCCAACCCAAACTCTTCTATGATTCCATAATAAGTTATGGCATGGCATCAGAGCTGTGGCCACATGCTGACTCCTCTCTCTTAACAGATTGCCAGTGTGAGAGCAGCTTTCCCTCAGTTTCCCACCAGCTGAGGGTTGTGGTTGTTTGCTGTGACTCAGGGGACAGGAGGTGACTTGCTAAGATGGAGCAATTTCATTGAGCCCTGAACCTCACTGATAAAACTTTTGTTATGGGATAATTTGGTCCCTGGTGATAAATCCCTGAAGGTGTGCAGAAGGCTGCTTGCCTTGCTGACGGCTTCATGCCAGCTCCCACAAATGTCCCCCAGCCCTGGGGGCAACAATGAGGTGACTGCAGAGCCCATGCGTGCAGGGCCATGGGTAGGAGCCTACTTGGAGGGCTTTTCTTGTAATACTTGCCAGTGGGAGAGTGGGAATGCTCATCTGGAGATGCCTGTGGAGGGAAGACAAAAATGGGGCATTAAGATCAGAACAGAACCCCATGAGTCAGGCGGGGAGCCAGAGGCACCATGGAGTGGCAGTTTGGGCACCCAGTTTGGCAGCGTTTGAGCCACTGCTCATCTGCATAGGTGGAGTTCAGGCTTAGCCAGGCACGGGTCTGCCGTATCACAGTAAACCATCTCTTTTCCAGCCACGTCATCCATGCGCCACACGGACACCAGCACACCCACCCGGTCGTCGGTGCCGGGGGGGCAGGCGGAGAAGGCAGCCCTGCGGCTGGCATCAGCTGGAAGCGCTCAGGTCAGTGGTCCCAGCGAGCAATAACCTTTCTGAGGCCATAAAGAAACGAGCGTGACAAACCTCTATCTTGCCCTCAGAGAGGCTGAATCCCCACCTCTGAGTGTGCTGGGCCTGAGCATGGGATTTCCCAGGGCTGTGGAGAGCTGCTGCAGGCTCCTCTGCTGCCTCCTCCCGGGGCTCAGTTTGCTCCCCGGGCCAAACAACTCCTCACTCCGCGAGCCCTCTTTTCATGGGTTTTATACACATGAAGTGGCCTTTATCCAAAAATGGATGCTGACACTGAGGATTTGCAATTAGCAGGGGCCATGCAGGAGCTTGAACTCTCCCTTCAGACTCATCCTCAGATCTCCACCTGGAGTTGTCTAATTCTTCTTCGTAACATGTTTGTCACCAGTATGAGCTGGTGTCACACCAACTCTACACTAGAGTTGCTATGGACCTACAATAAGGCAAAGTTTTCATTTCTAGGCCATAGCAGCTCCTCAAGCCCCTGGTGAACACCTCCCTCAGCATCCCGTGGCTCAGCCGGCAGTCCCCTCTCAGCACACGGTGATGGTATGTCCTTTATTTTTGTTAAACACACTGGTATGGCCAGTCAGTGGGGCGGTCTCAGTGGCTCCAGTTCACTGCTCTTACCTCTTGCTGGCTAGTCTCAGCACGGGGGCAAGGTTTCAGGAACCTTTCTGTTGCCGTTACTGAGATTCACCTGCAACAAAATTACTGCAACCACTTCTTTCAGCAAGGATACAGAGCAGGACACACAAGGAAATAGATTAGAAGAAGGTTTATGCTGGTCAAAACCATTGGGGGGCTGCTGAAGGGTCATCTCTGAATTGCTAGCAACTACAGGCTGATATGATGCTGAACAGCTTTACTGCCCTGGCAGAGGAAGGGTATGTCATGGAAGGTTTGAGTTAGGCCAGAAAATAAAAAAAAAAAACACAAAACCACAAGAAAAATGTGGAAGTCATAAACCAAAACAATGAGCCTGTCCTCACAGAGCTTTGAGGTCAGTGCAATACACAGTCAGGCTGTAATACAGGGCTTGAGGATGGCCAATGTAGGTGTGAAGGACGGATCCCAGGGTGGGATTACAACCTAACCTGGGCCTGGCACTTGGCAAATATAATTAGCAGCACCACTGAAAACCCAGCCTGGAGGTGAGGCAAGGGCTTGCATGCAGTGTCTGCCCCAAAATGCAAGGGGTCCAAAATGAGCATGGTGTCACTAAAGGGACAGGGGAGTCCTGTGCATAGGCACTACCTGTGCTCAGGAATTTAAGAGACACTGAGTGTGAGCCAGTTGGGCTGCTGCTCTGGAAGTACAGTGGTACTTTGGTTAAATGTGCAATTGACATTTTCTGTCAGCATCGTATTTTCTATGCCAAAAGCTGAAAAGCAGTCATTTTCCTGAAGCCAGCATCACTATGTGAGTAGTAGCAGGACTGGTCCTACCCTGTCATCTTGCTCTCTGTTCTCCACAGCCAGTGTACCATTTCCCGACCCAGCTGGGGATGATGCATCAGCTGAAAGAGCAGCTGGAGGAGAGGACTCGCATACTGCAGGCTGACATCAAGACACAGCAAGAAGAGCTCCACGTCATCAAGGAGCAACTCCAGCTAGTGCAGGACTCCAACCTGCAGGTACCTGCTGCCGCTGCCCCCAGCATTCCCAAACCCACAAAACATTTGCCTTTCCTTTGAGCCCGCAGATTGGTGACAAAACTGTCAATGTCAGAAGCATTTAGAAATGAACTCTGGATAAATTGGTAGTTTGGTCTCAGATGTGGGAGTAGTGTCTCCCAAGAGATGAGTGGTGTCAGTATCTGCTTAAGTATTGAATCAGTAATTTGCATGATTTAGAAAAAACTATACCAAGCTAATCTGAAGTCCTCCCGGCACAAAAAGCTTGGTGGTTCAGAGGCTGGTTAGTGCTGCTGGATCCCCAGTGCCCTTCCTGCAAAATGCAACAGCCATAATGGAGCTGGAATGGTGGTGGCTCTCAATAAATGCTTAGGCACAAGCTAACATTTGATTTTCTGTTATTTGTGGTTCACTTTGCCCCTGAATTTAGAGACGTTGCTGTCGCAGTGTTGACAGAGACAGCCTGGGAGCCGGGACAGTACCTCTCAGGCAGTACAACTGCTGCAACAGCTCATGTGTCTCTTTTATTTAAAGATGCTGATGCAGCAGCCGATCCCTGTCGTCTTTAACAACGTGCAACACCCGAGCCCCAGGAGGCCACCGGCACCAGGGACGCCCAGGCAGACCACAGCCAAGAAGTCACAACAGCCAGGCCTTATGAGGACGAAGCACTTCTGCAGCACCCCCCTGCCGTCACCGCGCCAATTCCTCAGGGACCCCAGCGGCATAGCCGCCCAGGTCTCTGGCTGCTTCCTTGTCTTCAATGTGCCCTTTCCTGGCGTTTAAATACTTGTCTGCCATATGCCCTCTCCCCGCAGCCCCACGCATCTCCTCTGTGCTGGTTTTACTCCATAGCTGGCATTACGAAATTTGTGTCGAGTCAGTGGTGAATGATGTCATTCAGCTGTAAAAATAAAAGCCAGGTTGCCTAAAAGCATTAAACCCTGGGGACCGCTGGAGCTGTCCTGGTGACCGGAGAGGAACTGGGTGGGAGGTTTGGGCTCTTGTTTGCTTCTGTTTGTGATAGCAACATGGTGCTTGTTCGTAGCCAGTGGGAGTTGTGACTTTGTAACATGGGGAAGTAGGAATAACTTTAAAAGACCAATTTCCTTCTCCCTGAGAAGTTTTGGAAGGCAGCTTTGAAAAACAAGTTTGTCAACACTAGACTAAATCCACTATATAGATGGCCACATCTTCTTGAGAAAGAATTGAGGTGTCCAAAAGCAAAAAAAGATGAAAACTACTGCTTTAAAGGACGGATGAGATACTTTCTTTGGTGACTTCAGATTTCCACTCCTCCTCTCCTCTTAAGCTGCTCTCCTCTCCCTCGTGCCTTGTATGCCTTTACCCTAGTACTCTGATTTCTCAAGAGACCGTCTGCTCCCACCGCTGGGGATCCCAGCACCTGCTGTGCAGGAGCAATAAATACAAATGGGTTGGCTGTCCTGCATAGGTATACTGTGCCTACTGCTGTGTTCAGGGAAAATATCCTACTGTTCCTTCTCATCTTCCCATCTGCATACTGGAAGCAGTTATTTTAGCTTTCTCTTGGGGAGCTTTAAAAACTTACGTGGGTATCTATGTCTTCATTCCAGGTACAGCAGCAGCAGCAGCACCTAATGAGAGGAAACCCTGCCCAGCAAACATGTCTGCCGGGGCAGACGAGCATTTCAGTGCCCCTCTACAACAACCCCATGGTGTTTTCACAAACACATCCCATCACAGTGGCTGCACAGATGACGACTGACAGCAGCGAAAGGCAACCGCAGTCTGACTACAGCCAGGACAGGAGCCTCAGGTGTGAATGAAGCCCTCCTGGGACCCACGTGATGGCGGTGACAGAGAATAGCAATCCCTGGGCAGCGGGGAGGGCAGGCACAGCTGGGCTCAGCAGGGTCATGGTCTCTGGATGCCACAGCAGGGGTGTAGGGCTGTTCCCTCCTGCAGAGATCTGGGTTAATGGTGAGCCCGGGGTACATGCAAACAGGGTGCTGAAATCCCTCAGGAGCCTGAAATCCTTCATATATCCATAAATTGTCCATGTAGCTCGGTAACCTTTGGACATCTGCTGCTGTCAGAGAGAGTGAACAGGAAAAACCAGCTGGGACAGCCTTTCCCAAACTTGTCTCTACTTGCTCTGAAGCTCCAGAGTGTCTTTTCTCCAGCCAGGACAAGCGCCATGGCAAAGCTGTTTTTCTTCTATAGAAATGTATAAAACATTCAACTGCCCCAAACTATTCAACCGTCTTTCAGGGAGGTGTCTACAGACAGTACCCACAGGACCCAGCTGTTTTGAAATACTGTGTAAGGAAACAAGATAAACCCTGAAGGTCTCACCATCTATAAAATATATTTCTTACATGAAAGATTTAGCACGTTTCAGCTCACCTCTGCGAGTACATTAGGCAAGGTGACAAGTGCCTATTTCATTAGGTTTTTTTCAGGGTGATGGTTTGCTTTCTCTCAGGGAAGATTTTCAGGGATCTGTTTCCAGGGACTGACAGTCAGGAGTCTGGACCTCTCCCATCCCTGACTGTCCTCATTTTTTCTTCCACCACAGGATGCTGTTGGATCAGTCTATCCAAGCCATGATGCCCGCCTCCAACAGCAGCAGCCAGTCTACGCAGAGCAGTGCCAGCAGGCAGCAAGGAAAGTGAGTCTTTGCTGGCCCTTGCTTTCATGCAGTGTTTTAGCAGGGCATTTTGTGGCACTGAAAATGACTTTGAAAAACTTGTACGTGATCATGTTAAGGCAGTCTCAGTCCTAAAAGAAAAAGAAGCTCAACTGGCTAGGAGAAAAAGTAATGAGAATATTTTTTAGTTACAAAGAACTTTAAAATGCTTTAAAAAATATTTTTGAACTATTTTCTGGCTTTAGCAAAGCCTAAAATGCCTAAGGAGGTCATGAAGGAGATGTATAGCCGTAAAAACCTTAATTTTATGCTGTTGCAGTCCATGCTTGATGGGGAAGGGGTTATCTGTGGCCTGCTCTCGCTGGGCTCTGCATGCTTTGACAAACCCTGCTCCAGTCTGGTTCCTGCAGCACCTGGGCTCCCCAGGGCCCTCTCCGATGGTGGGTGTGGGTTTGGGTTCTCACACTTTATTTTCCTCCCTGTGGCAGATTCGTTGCAGAGCAGCAGATCTTGCCTCCCCCAATACAGATGCAACCAGTTACCTGTAGTACCGTCCGACCTCCAGCCCCATCACCCGTTTTCTCCCCGTCTCTGATGATCCCACACACCAGCTTCACATCCCACCAGGCAAACACACCAGTTCACCTCCACCAGTGGCCACAGCAACAGGTTCAGCAGCACCGTCTCTACCTTCAGGTAATGGAGCTGGAATAGGTTTCTGAGGATGCACGGGGATGGCTTTGAGGTTGGGTTGGGGTTTTTTTTAAGAAATGGGACTTACCTGGCTAGTCAAACCTGGTCGGTGCACTCACACATCCTCCATGCCCGTTGTATCTGCATGTACCCCAGTGCTCAGCCTTTCCCGGCTGGCTCTGCGCCTGTTCAAGGCCGTAATTTCCAGTGAACTCAGTTATCGCTTAGTGTCCAGAAGAAATTCTTGGTTTTTCAAACACCACTTGTCATCCAGAGGAGCTCTGGTGGGAGTCTTGCTGGAGATGTGAAACTTGATAAGGGATAAGCTCTTTTGAAAACATGCCTCCTGCTGTTATGTCTCAGCATAGCAAGGTTTTTTATCAGCTGCCATCACTGCTTTCTTTTAATAAATAATAACAACACAAATCTCTGGAGAAGGTGATTTTGGTTCTTCAAAGCGCAGCTTCATCAGTGCATGCCAAACCTATGATGCTGCCAAGGAGAGGGGTTGTTAAAATTAGTAATACACTCTTCAAGACTTGCCTGGTTGGCAGAGGTAAGTTACAGTTCTCCAGGCAAAGATGGTAGAAATCAAAGCAGGGGAAGTAGGTACAGCTGAAAGTAACCATGCAACAGGGCTGGATTTAGGCAGGAAATGAATCGTTGCTAGCAAATGTGAGCACGAGCTGTCCCTGCTCTGGGGTCGTGTTCTTACAGGCTGCACTGAGGTCCTGAGGACTAGCAATGTGGACAGCAGAATGATGATGCTGGGGGAGATAAATAGCTCCAGAGCATCAGAAAACCAGGCTTTGGTGCCACAATGCCTTTAACAGGGGGTGAACGAGCAAGTCCAGGTCTTTGGGGTACCAGCCACAGGGTGATACATGGACAAGGTCGCTCTACAACCTCTTCATGGGTTGCCTGAAAATCTTTCACATGGAAGATGGAAGTTGCATGTCCTGCAGATTTTACCTTGTGTCCAAGTAGCTTCTGGCAGTCTCCATTCCTGCTGGGCTCCTCATGGGGCTGGGAGGACGGATGGATCCTGCTTCCCCTCCATACTCTCCAGGCATTGTTAGTCATGCTGATAGCAACAGCATCCCAAGCCTTGATGGGTGGGGGTTACCTTTAGGACTTGGTACTCGCACCCCTGGCTACAAGCCTCAGCATCAGCCCTGCAGCAAGAGAGGGAGCGGGTGGGCCACAGGGCAGCTCTGACTTGTAGGATTTGTGTCTCTGGCAGATGCAAGGTCCTGAGCCGGTGCCTGGGGGTCCAACACAGCGCATTTTCCAGCCCCCCCACCCCCCACAGCAGAACCCCCTGAGCTACTTCCTCCACCCGCAGCAGCAGAGCCGCCACACACAGGGCCAGGCCTGCAACCTGCCGGACCTGCCCGAGATGCAGCTGCCCTGAGCGCGAGGGCCAGGACGAAGGGACCACTGAGGCTGCAGCCGCTCGCTCGGCGCCCTGGTGCGCATGGAGGGGAGGACGACACCGTCAGAGCATGGGATGGGTGAGGTCGGGCTCAGCTGGACGGTGGTGGCTGGGGGGATGGCTCCCACGGCGGGCAGACGGCTCCGGGGATTTTGCCGGTCCATAATGCTGCTCCAGTGGCTGTACGTGCCCTTGCCCAGCACTGCGGTACAACTGGAAGGCGATGGCTTTCTGGCTGCAGGGAGGTCAGTTACCAGGTCACCACGAAGATTGCTTTGCAATGGAGAAAACCCTTTTCCATTCAGGACTTCAATGCTGAAAGTCACTGTGAATTTAAGCCCACCGTTTGGAGCACATCCACAGACTGTACTGGTCCACAGGATGCCGTTGGATTACCATGTACATAACTCGTTTCACTGTAGTAGGTCCATTGTGGGTTTTTTTCCTTTTTTTCTATACCTCAGTCCCGCAATTTTTTTGTTTTCCAGGAGATTGGATAATGCTGCTAATTTACATAACACCACTTTTGCCTGAATTTCTTACTGTTGTTATACCAGCTCACATCGCAGCTAGTAAGATATCTGTCATGTTTTATTTTCGTTAACAAGTACAGATAAATTTATATGGTTTTTATTCCCTGTAGCCAAATATTTGTCAGGTTACAGACAAAGAATCTTTACTCGTTCTTTTTTTTGGTTGTTCTGTTTCAAGTGATGTAGTTGTATGTTTCTATACATGAAGACAAAGCATAGAACAGCATGTGACAGCAAACTTTGTGGTTTTGCTAGGTCATGTTTCAATTTGGCAAACCTGAAACGTATGATCACAACGACACAAGCGATGTTACAAGCCCGTAGGGTCAGCAATAAATTGTATTTTTGTAAATTGTCACTTTTTAACTATAAGTTTATATTTATGAATTGAAAAAAACAGTTTATTCCTCAGTGGGTGTATAGTTAAGTGTCCCTACTGTTTGTGTCTTTCCAAAGGAAAAATGGAGTGTACATTTCTGATGTGTTAGTAGCTGAGTACTAACTTTGGGCACAGTTAGAGCCCAGATGTAGGAGAGGGGTTAGGCCATTGCTATAAGTTTTGCAGGAAAATGGGTAGTTAGGACTAGGTCCATCTAGCAGCAAAGCTCCATCTGTCAGTCAGGGCAAGGTTTAGGGGTGAGCTAGTTCATAACCTGGGGTGTGCCGGATGGGGCTGTGCCATGGGCACAGCCCTTCTGATGGCAGCGCTGGGCTCCACAGACAGGGAGGGCTGGGGGGGTGGCACAGCCATCCCTGCTCGCAGCCGCTCATCAAGGAGCACAGGAGGTTTGCAAGGATGTTTACATGTTAGATTGGCCTTGCTAAAACAAGAGACATAAACCGCACTTTATCACGTGCCCAATTCCCCCTTTATTGCCAGTGTCCCCCTCCCAGGCGCTAGCCCGGCTGCTGGCTTGCGGGTAGAGCCGTGTTTTCCAGGCATGCTCCAAAGGACAAAATCCCACAGCCCTGTTTTGGGGTTTGCTTGGTCCCTGCTTGGTCTGCCTCTGGGCTGGGGGAAGGCTGAGTCAGGGCCGTGGGATTTTTGCCTTATATCATCACTCTCAAAAAATATATGAATAAATGAATCTCTTTATTCAGGTTGATTTGTATTTGTTTACCTCGGTGTTAGCTATGACCTGTGTTTTTGGGACTCATTTGGAATTGAGAGCTGCTGCTGGGCTTGGGTCACACACCCTCGGGTGCTTATGAGGCAGCACAAGCGTGACCTGTGGTGACAAGCAGGAGGAACATGACTGATGCCACCTGCGCCGGGGTTGGGCTCCAGGGTCGGTGTCAATCTATTAGTCATTAATGTTCTGAGGCTTTCTAGTACACAAGCACCTATATACTATATATCTCTCTATATATAGATATACAGATACATGTATTTTTAATATACACATATGTGTATATCTGTATATAAAAATGTATATATAGGCCACACAATTCCAGACCTCTGAAAACACAGGCAGCTTTAATTAAGTCTTGCACTTTTAGCATATTTGTACATATAAGCTAAAGCCTGGTGGGTATAATCAGGCTGGTTTGACAAACACAGTGAAAAATTACTGTATATATTGTATATACTTCATGTAAAAAAAGCAAAAAAAAAGAAAATAAGAAAAAATATTAGAATTGAGTATAAATCTTGGTTTATTTTATATGATGTCGAATATAGATACATTTATAAATGTTACTATTCTTAAAAGTATTTTGTAATGGGAAAAAGAAAGTGTCTTATGAAGATGAACAGTAAAGATTTTATTTGTCTTGACTCTATGTCCCTGCACAGCTCCATTGAGTGGGAGCCCATGCATTTTAACAAGCTTTAAACAGATTGTACATAGTATTTTAAAAAAAAAAAGAAAGAAAAAAAGAAATAAAATACTACTTGTAAGACCTCTTATACACTCTGTGCTGTTGTTATTCCTTGGGTGGTATGGGTCCGATGGGGATCAGAATCTGCTCCCTGCTCCACAGGAGGCACATGAGCAGCAGCCATCGCATATGTGTAAAAACAGCTGCAGGGACGGGGCTCAAGATGGAGACGGGGATTTCCAGGGCCAGTGCCAGAAGCAATAGGGGCACATAAATTGGAACAAGGCTTCAGAGTCAGTGTAGACAAGTCTGCACACTGTAAATGTTTTAATTTGGATGCAAAAACCACCTAACGGTACTCTTCTGGGCTAATGCACTTGCCCACTGGGCACTGAAGCAAGCCCAGGCTCTATGCAAGTTAAACTAGGCCTAGGCTTGAAAATCTGGGTTTCCTCTTCATTTTTCCCACACTTCTGGGGAGGTTGTCACCTTAGCATGGTTTTTGGCTTGGTCCTTGCTTTGAAAAGCACTCGCTAAACATAGCTTTAACATGACCAGTGCTCTTAAAGGAACTTCTGAAGCAGTGCATCACGAGAAATAATAGTGCCTCAAACACAGATTTTTTTTTTTCTCAAGTGAAACACATTTTTATTTAACACCCCATTTGTCTTACAGTACTTCTGCATACAACACATTATATAAAAAGCCAACCTGCCAACACAAACATGTGTTGCCTTCTTGGTAAAGTGACAAAGCTATAGCAAAAAAGACAATGTAGCCTATTTTTCTGGAAACAAATTAGAATATATATTTATGTTTTAGTCCAGATAACAACTGGAAAAAAAAAAAAATCAACACACAGCTATTTCTTAGTCTCTATGGTAGCTAACTCTTCTAAAATACATTCTAATCTAGACATTAGAGTGATGAACAAGTGGCTTGCTTTAGGAATGGATAGAAACAACAGAGTACTTTTTCTGAATCACATGGCAGTGACCATTTCCATATCCTGGGAAATGCTACTGGTTGATTTAGAAGCAGTTCTCCCCCTGGTAGAAAGGGCTCGTACCTTTATTACTATTAGTTGAGCTATTCCCTCCCCTCATGTGTTCCAGCCCTGAACTGGGCGCACAGCGAGGTTGAGCAGCCCGCTCCTCGGGGCGGCCAGGGCTGCTGCTGTTCTCTGGGAGCTGGGGAACGGCCACAGGCTCCCCGAGCACATGCTGTGTTGCAAGAGAGAGGGAGCATCAGAGCTCTGCCAGCCCTCCCCCTGGGCTAAGGGTTACGTACGACAAAAGGCATCTTATGTGCATAGCAACAATAATAATGGCCTAGCCACTAGAAGGGACTGTGCAGTGAACACTAACGGCCACTGAGAATGTTTTGGGATAAATAACCATGGCAGAGCTGCCAAGTCACACTGGTGACATGGCAGCAGGTAGTGCAATTTTAAAACTGTATAAACAGCATCACTAGTTTTAGCAATCTATCTCCTACCTACAACTGTCTAGTTTGTACTGAATGATGCACATTCATTTAGTTTTTTCTGATTGAACCGAAAAAATAAAAGACAGATAACTTCATGAAAATTGTTATAGAAAAAAAGGACGGATACGTGACATGACACATCAGTACTCAACCACGCTGCTTCCTGTTTGTGAATGAACTGTTCAAAAGTTCAGAAATACTTCTAAAAACTTCTGTTACAATTTGAATGGAAAGTCCCCTGCTTGGGGAGTAGCTGAGTAATTCTGGGTCAGATGCTGTGCAACTGCCAGACTTCTTGTGAGCACTTCTGAATTCCCAGCTACAGGGGCAGCCGACCTCCTGCAACACATGTGTGCACCCGCAGCGCCCCAATGCACCACGATGGCAAGCTGGGATCAGCTTTGCATCACCAAGAACTTCAGATGGCCAAAAAGCTGTATCGCATGGCGATCTCTGTGCCCAGATAAGGCCCCAGGGCTTTAAAGTCAAGGCATCACCCTTTGGGACTGAAGAGCGGGCAAAAGCTTCTATTGCTCCAGCTCCCCCGTCCCAGCTGATCCTGCACGTATCTGTTAGCCAGCCGACCTCCACAGCAGGAAGGGAAGGAGCTAGACCCTGACTCCAGAGTTACCCTGCCACAAGCAAAGCACAAGTGTCCCTCAGTGTTATGGCACACTGTGGAGCGAGTGACCTTGCTCCAGCCTCTGGCCTGCTGAGCCCTGCCACTCTGACTACTCTTGCTGGATCAACCTGCAGGTGTATTACAGGAATGATTTAAAGACATTACCCTTTTTGGAAAAAAATAGAAACAAACTGAACAGAAAATCCATGCAGTTACTAAAAGCTAGCGTTCCCCTATATATCCTAACTTCTCACCTTAAAATCTGTTTTTTTTATATACATATATATGCTGGTAATCTCTCTTTATACATAGATATGATAGCTGAGATGAACTACATAATTGCTAATGGCCCTACAGTCTCTTGGATTGAATTGAAATAAACTAATAGAAAATGGTGTTTTAAAAAGCTGCTCAGTTTTGCATAACCAAACCAACTAGTGTCACAAGGCGATTGTGTTTTGCAGGTGCCTTCAGTAGAGTCTTCGGTACTTAGGTCTTAACATCTTGTCTCTCAACTGAAAAATGTCTTTGAGTTTTAAGACTTTCATATCTCTGTGCACTCCTGCTTAGCAAATAGTTCATAGCTTTGACTGCTTCTTGAAATGAATAATAATCCATCATAAACCTGCAAAAGCTTTTTGGATGGGCAGCTGCATCTATTTTCATGGGGCTCCATTAATTTCAGTATAGCTATTCGCAGAATTATTACTCACTGAGCAAACTTTATCTGAGTACGTCCTGGACTAGAACAACTACATCATCTGCTCTGTATTACTAAAACAACATTAGGAAAACAGTGAGTAAATACATTTTAAAAGTAACACAGTGTTGCCCTGCTTTGCCTCAGAAACACATCCGTATGAATTAGTTTTTATATTTTACACATAAAAATACAAATCAGTATTATATTCTATCAAGGTAATTACTTTATGAAGGCTTCTGAAAAAAGCTTCATTTCTCACATATATGATATAGTTTTTGGAGTTACTGTTCATTCAATAAAACTTTATTTTACAATAATACCTGAGAGTATGGGGGAGAACAGAAGAAATAATTCATAAATTCAGTGCTCCCGATCAAAACTGTATTCTTCAGAAGTAGCATGGGAACTTTAACACCGATTGCAATGATGGTATTTCACCAAGTGTTTATAACACAAGTCAGAATTTCATTTTGTTCTTTATTCATATTAGTATTGCAAGAAAAGTGCCAGTGAATGATACCATCCCCATTCTGCTTCTTTACAAAAAACATGCACAGTACAAAAATAATGCTGCTCTGCAGAGAAAGATTGTCACACAGGCTTTAGAAACAGCCTTTTAAAACTAGTTTAGCAGAGTCCCAGTTTACTTTTTTGTTGCTGTTAAAATACAAGGTCTTCCCCTCCTTCTCTAAACCCATTCTAGCACCAGCTACTGCAGGTTCAAGGTCAATATTTATCAGCATTATCACTGGCAGAGCTTGCCTGCACAGGATCTTTACTATATCATTTTTTTATATATTAAAAATTTCAAGTCAGATTCCAGAGGATTTTCTTGTTGCCATGAATCCTGGCAGATAGAAAATATTAGAGCAGCAATAATCCAGAGCGCTATAGAAAAGAAACAATAATTACCAGGCTGAGGTATGGACTCAGGGTAGGCAAAGGAGCAACTAATCTGTCCCTGGCTGTTCAATAGCCAGCATTCAGCTAACTATGAAGCAGCTAAAGATGGTCTGTGCTTGGGCTTTCCAGTCACAAGAAAAACTAGATTTCATCAACATGCTCCTAAGAAGCCAACAATGGCTCCTCTTGCAAGATGAATGACAACCACCACGTGATCACACAGATTTAGCCACTGCTTTCCCTTGGTTTCAACAATTTGTACTAACTTTTGCATCTGTGTGCAGCCTGGACGACCTAACAAGCTTCCATCCTTTTCACCAGTATTGTAGGAGGATTGGAAGGAAAATGGGAGAGAGACCTTATATATAGGCTGAGCTAGAAAAGCAGGAAACCAGTTGTTTGTTGCAAAAAATGAGACGGGCTGGCAGAACGCAGCCTGCAAACTGCCAACAAGGGGCTGGAATCTGCAAGAGTCCAGGACCACTGGTAACACCAAAGCAGAGGAATTGAGAGCAAGACAACTTCCTTCTCTAACCTCATGCTCTTGTGCCTACTGCAGCCTCTATTCTTAGTCTTGACCCTGCTTTGATCCCAGTCTACATGCAAGTTTGGAAATAACTAATTAAGCTAACCTGGAAGACGACCTCTAAGCTGTCGATACTCCTTTTAAGTGAGAACGGCTGGAAGTCATTCCTTTCACCACAGTATTAGAAATGAAGCTGGAGAGCACACATTGTAACAACTGTCATTCGATAGGTTCGCAACAGGTCACATCCAGTATTTCCAAGCAATGTTGCATATTTTAATAACACGGTAAAGACAGTTTATTACTCAGTACTTTTTTTCAGAGTGAAACTTATGAACAATGCAAGAAAGTAATTGTGCTTCAAACTATTTTTATTTACATTACATACCAGTAATCTGATATTTAAAGCTAACTCTTCAAACTCCATTCCATATGTAAACACCAGACTCAAATTCCATAGTAACAACCTTCATTTGTAAGTGCGTTACGTGGTTAATTCAGAGTCAAAGGTAAAGAAAATTACACTCTGATTCTTGCCTTAAGTTGTAAATTTTTAGCACTCTCTATTTTAACTTTTATGTCATGAGGTTTCTCAAAAAATCTGACAAAGGCTGGCTCATTTAATAAGGACGCCAGAATCTGTTCAAAGGCAAAAGACCATTCATGGTTCTCTCTCAAATTCTGTGCTCTGCTGCCTTCAGTCTGCTCAGAGCTGCTTTCCTCCTGCCCTTTCCTGGGGATTTCAGCAGGCACCTCCGTAATGGCAACTGGACTTTTGACTGCTGATGTGGAACTCTGCAGTCTTCTCCCAACTTCTTCTATTTTCAGCAGGAGGCTGGTAACCACCGCTATAGCCTGATATAACAGTTCCTCCTCAGGATCCCCATGGAACAGATTGTACAGAGTTTTTGAGAACTGGATGAACTGAGACTACGGACAGATATAGAGGAGACAATTCAGAGAACAGCAACACAACCATCCTGTTTCACTACACATTGTGACCTTCATCCAGCACCTGCTGCTGCTGGGCACCTGGTACAACTACTCTAACGACAACATTGGGTGGGGACCAGCCCTCATAAACTAAGTGTATATGAAAGTCCCTCTCTTCATAAGCTTACAGTTACAGCAGTTTAAAAAAACCTCACAGTCTAATGATTAATGTGAAGGTCTGAAATTTAAGGGATCCTACAAATCCTTTAGAAAATTACTAACAGAACTTAAAGGATATACAACAATCAAAAATAGACTTAAATAAGATTCGGACAGACTTTACCTGATTCATTCTTGGCAAATCCATAATGTTTTCTTCTTTTTTAAGAAGTTCATCTTGCCATTGTTTCAGATATGCCTGAATATCAACCTTCCCCTTTCCTACTTGACAAAAAGAAAAAAAAAAAAAAAAAGAGAAAACAAAAAAGAAGTGAACAAACAAGAACTAAAAGCTTCCTATGAAGGATGATGAGCTGAAGAACAGGCATCCTCAATGTCATTCCTTCTCAACAGAGCAGTGGGGCCAAGGACTAAAAAGGATCAGAGTTTTCATTGCCCTCTCGCTGCCCAGGACTGTACTTAGAGAAGAAGATACAGCGTTAGCACTACGCTAGAGATGACGTTAGAATACATACATATATCATACATACATACATATACATACATACATTTGTCACCACACCATTTCCCAGCTCTACTCCCCCAAGAGACACAGTTACCAAACATGTCCCCAGGATTCTTTACCCTTTTCTGGGCTGCTCTTCAAAGAATCACGTTCAAGACTATCCCCAACAGATGAAACTACAATTTACGAGAAGAAAAAGAAGAAAAAGTTATTTCTCTGAGAAAAGAGGACCAATGGTTCATTTCCTTTTATCAAATATTCCTTACTTAAGGATCAAGACCCTAACCAATCCCTGTGTTCTCATAACAAGTTAGGCTGAGAAGAAACCACATGGTAAGATCTGTATACTTACTATAAAAACAGAAGCCACCATGAGGCTGGAGATCACAAAAGAAACTGCCAACAGTTATATCAAGCAAGTAATCTTCATGATGTTCATGACTCATTTCTTGAACAGTGGTGAGAACGGTACCCATGTGTTACAGACAAGGTACTTCTGGATTTTTAAAAACCAAAAAAGGGTGTCTTCCAAAGAAGGAAAACTGCACAGCTTTCCAGGGTATTTTATCAACGTCACAGAGTCCACAAAACTTTTTTCAGCTTGCTTGGTTTAAAATGGAAACAAAGGATTTTGAAACGCTTACATATGTGCCCCAAAATAATTATGGATTTGGATATTTTATTTCTTGAGGCAGGAAATATAATTTCTTTATGCCTTGAATGCAAAAGTGAAATGGTCATCACTTCAACAACCACTGCAACAGGTTGCCTGATATGCTGACAAACGCTGACCAAATACACTTCCCTATTTCCATGCAATTCCCCCATCTCCATTTACTAGTTTTCAGAAAAGTGCTCCCCATTTTTCACCAAGAGATAATTAACAGAATCTTTCTAATATTCTGCGGGCAAAGCGTCACACTCTGGAGCTTACCACTGAGTTGGCTGAAGTGGATTAGTTCTTCTTTTGAAAGATCACCACCCTTGGAAGGGCTTAGAGATTCTACTTCAGTAAAAGCTGCAATAAATAAATAAAGTGGGTTTAGGGCTCCCAAGCATTACCCAAAGCAGTGAAAAAAAGCAAAAGCTTTGTACAGACAAATGATATCTATCAAGAGAAATGGTGCTGGAGCAGGTTAAGTCCTTCCCAAAGAATACATCACTGTGGAAGAACTGTATTATAGTTATGGGACTGTACTGTAGCCAGGACTGGTGACAATAGGAAGAAAAGTAAAGCTAAGAAAAAAAAAACATGCAAGATGTTAAAAGCCACTACCTCTCACCTACCTGGAGGGATGTGCAACTTAAAAAGAAGCTTGAGTTTGTCTGTGAAACTTCCGTTATACATGATATCTGTTAGAGGAAAGAGGCAAGACAGTCTGTTCAACTGGACCAACCTTTAAAAAACACCCTCTTAAACAAATACAACCCAGGGAGGTTGGAACTGCACATGTCCTACCTTACATGGAGTATAATTAGAAATGAAGCTTAAGGAAGGGAGTATCACCTGCATCTGAGCCTGGGCTTTGCCTACACTGAGGAAAGAACACTAATAATGTCTCTAACTTACTAAAATGAAACCCAGCACCAAAGAAATAATGTCTTCTCAGCATTTTCCCTTAAATGTTTGTTTCCTGAACAATGTCACTTTGAAAACAAGATGAAGGGAACAGAGTAGTAAATCAAGAGAACTTTCAGTTCCCCAGAGATATAAGGCATTGGTCATCTTGCACGATCTGTGTATGAGATGGCTTAGTATGAGGAAGCATTTATCATTAACCAAACAGGCTGGGCAATGAGATCATACCATTTCCTAACTTTCTGACATTTTGATGGTAAAGTCATGTTTAAATTTAATCTCAAATAGCAGGTTATTCTCCAGGGGATTAACATCTCTGGAAAGTTACTAGTTTGTAAAGCCTTGTGTTAGCTATTTTATGGTGAAATACAGACAAGAAAATGAAAGCACAGTTCCATAACTTCAAGCCTTTATAATTCACTAAATAGTGTAGCTCCCACTCTCAAGCTTATAAATGTAATTTGAGCATTTGGCTTGCCATTTAAATAGTCTTTACATTTAATGTCACATGATAAAAATGAGACTATTTGATCCCAAGTTAAGAGGCTAGTCTCCTTAGGGTCTTTATAAAGTGTATGGAAGGTGATAGACTCCAGGACTATTCCCAAGATGGGAGTTCCCTTGTGAATGTGCTGCATATATGTGTTGTTCTCATACCAAAAACACAGGCAAATTGTTTGAAGTTTATCAGACAGTCGGAGCTCTCATCCATTAGTCTGAATGTCCACAATGCAAGCGAGTCTCTGTTTGCACAGTGTGACCAGGGGCTCAAGAGGTGACAGAGAATCCTGAATTGCTGGCAATCAATCCGATACTGGTCAAGATATGGCAGACTGGCATCATGATGTTGCAAGACAGGACTATTTACATTCCAATAACAGGAAAGAAAGTGCTCCTTCTGCAAAGAAAAGATAAAATATTAGATTTTCTGAAACAACTCTCTCCAAGTGAAAGATGTGGGAAGTTAACTATGTAATTTGATTTAAAGCTGACATGAAAAACATATGTTCAATCTAGCTTTTATCTCAATTTGTCAAAACTGTTTCATACCTGTAACACAGTCCACCATTAAGATGGGTGTTTGGTAAGTGAGAAAAATTGCACATTACCTTGAATAACTCATATAGCTCTTCAAGATCACCAGGACTGAATTTTACATCCTGGGACACAACACGTAGCTGGAACAAAATTAAGAGAAAATTAATTAATGAGTCTTCTCTCCTTGGAATAAGCCTGTAGGATAAAGTTATGGGAGACTTAACCTTAGATTAAAAGACACTGTTTGAATATTCCAGGTTTGGGCATGTTACAATTAGAAGTAAGAATAGAACTACTTCTTAAAAGCAATCAGAAGATTATAGAATCATAGAATGGTTTGGGTTGGAAGGGACCTTTAAAGGTCATCTAGTCCAACCTCCTGTTATAGACTGAAAGAAATAATTTCTCCCAAAAAAATGAATCTTAAAGTTAGTCACATTACTTGCATACATGGAGCCTACACTATGAAACCCAGGACATAAAACTCAATTATCTATAATGATGTAACATATAGCTTCCTTTATAATGGCCAAATGCATGTTCAGTTCTCAACAGTGAAGCTGATTCCTCATTTTTTCAATTTAAGAAAAAAATATGTTTACAGCTTTTTAAAACAAAGTTAGCTACACGACCAGATTCCACCTTCACAGTAAGTATGTTTTGTAAAGTGAAATACAACAGTTATCATCTTAGCACAACCAACAGCATGATTTAGCATTAGTCGCTAGAAGCCACATTTACTACAGAAAGAAGCACTGCTTGTTAAATAGACTAGTATTGTCATCAGTTACTGGAAATGAGCCACTGAAGAAAACAGGCAAAGGAAGCACCTTGCAACCTCCACCTTCATTCAAGAGTCTGAACTTGAAGGATGGTATTGGCAGCTGAAGAGCTACCACACCACGGACACATGACTGGACATCCACACACGCCTCAGACAAAAAGCAACCCTCGTTGAACACAGTACAATCATCTCTTCAGTGACATTTGGGGTTGCAGGTGATTAATTGTTTTACTGTAGCACTGTGGACATTTTACAGTGCTCTATGCCTCTACAAGAAATGATTAACAATTAACAACAGCAGATAGAAATATAGGTCAGCCTGTTCCAATAAATGCAAAGCATCAGAGATATGCCAGCCTTTAGAAGCCTCTGCAATGGTGTTACTTGTAAAGAGACCAGAAGGTCATGCTGTGATTCACAGACTAAAAACATCACAGGCAAAACCTCAGTTAACAGACACCCTGCAGACAAGAGGGATTACAGCATATAAAAGCATATATTTGGCCCTTGAAAATGTAGCTCTTCACAGAATTTTCCAAAACAGAAAAAGTATTACCAGAGGGAAGGGTTTAGCTCTTCCAAGTCACTCACCACATTCTGCTTGGTCGTAGCTTCTAACGTCTGGATCACACAAAGCCTGTTCCTGCAGCGCATGCTCTCAACATCCTCATGTCGAATATCACCGTATCTCTAAGAAGAAAAGCATTGTTCCATTAAATCAGCTGTTGCTACACACATCTAAGCAGATATTTTTGTCTTTCTTGTAGCTAAGCACAATACAAGTATGGACACAAAGGAAGAGCCCAATAACTCTGAGCAAAAAATCATTTATTAGAGCACTAACATTCCCCCTAACAGTGTGATTTTTAAAAGGGCAGGTGTTTTAAAGAGTGATGGAGAAAGAAGAAACTGGAGCAGTTCGCTGTGTGGGAAGACAAAGGAAGGGATTTTACTGTGTGTCAGCTCTATATCCAACGCTGCTATCACACAGTGACTACTACTGCAGGGTAGCAGAGTCTGTGAGTATTGTTAGGTCTTGAAGTTCACTCTAGTGAACTTCAGAAATCAACTGAAGTGATTTCTGAACTGTTCTTAGCTACCTCTGGAATTTCTGAAGGACGGGGAAGGTGTTTGAGCATAGGAGTAGAATAAATGTGATTTACCTTTAAAGAAAAGCAGGATAGTAGGCAAAAACTAGAAATAAATTCCCAGAGAAATCGTGGCACAAATTATTAAACAAGTGAAGTCAAAATAGAAACAGATATGATAAATTAAGATCATGTCAAATCAATTTAATTTCCTCCTATGAGGAAACTGTCTAGTTTGTAGAACTGAAACAGCGGATATGATACATCTTTACTTCTGTGAGGTTTTTGACACTCCAGCCACACATGCAACCGGGAAGACATGGCCTAACCACAATCACTATGCAGCATGTGCACAACTGGTTCTAATAACAAACTTCAAGGACAATTGAGGGATAAATGATCAAATTAGGCAGGACTTTGAGAAGTTTTTCCATCGTGTGTTTTCTTCCCATTTTCAGTAATGTACTTTAAACTATGTATTAAAAACTGCACCACAGTCATAAAGAGTCCAAGCACATGAGCTCTGAGGAAAGGTTAGAGGAACTGGTTGTGTTGAATCTAGAAAAAGAAGAGATGACAGTTCAAAGGGTAAATAATGAACAACAACCTAACAGCAACAAGGAATTGAGGAGAAAAATGCAATTGCCCATACTCAACAGCACTTTATGAGCATCCAAGAGGAATTAGACTGGATATTTTCTGACAAGGACAGAGAAACCCTACAATAGGCTAAAGTATTTGCAGATTTTCTTTTGTGTCAGAGTTTTAACAACAGTAGACATTTTTCAAGGAGGTATGCTGGACAGGGAGCTGAACTAGATGACCTGTGGAGCTCTCTTCCAGAACTGTATTTCTATGTTCCTGTGAAGGCCACGACCAGCCTACTTCTGACTTGAAACAAAGAGGAAGCAGAGAGAAATTGCATCTCTGAATCATAACCCATTCACTGGTCTGGCTTCTGGGCACTGGTATTGTGCAACGGCCTCAGCAACAATATAAACAAGATGTATAATCTAATTCTGAATTAGTGTGATGCGATAAAATGTAACACGTTCTTCCATTCTCTAGTTAAATGTGACTTCTTCATACCTGATTAGACAGCCAAAGAATGAGTCTTGCATTTGTGCCTGAGTCATAAAGGCATGAAACTGAACATCATTTTAAAATTCAACTCTGTATCTTTTCACTTAATCTCATTTATCTACCCATGCAAAGCAACAGCATCACAAAGAACATCTCTGTTCACTTATTCATGATTTGTAACTAGATCTATCTGCAGAATGACAACTTCCCATTGCAGCAATCATCCCATTTTGAAATTTGTTTTATTTCCACAGTGATACCAAAATAAAACCCTTCAGCAGAACAGAATTGTGTTGAAACTGTCTGGTCAAAATGGGAAGCAGGAAATTGATTCTCACTTTGTATCAGCAGTTCTCAAACAAGGGGTTTTGACACTTACCAGCACTTAAGAAATTCAATTTCAGCTGAGGAAAAAAATTTGCATCCAGAAAACAGGTTATGAGATAGAAATGGGGATACAGGCCTAGGAACAGTGCCGTCAACTTGGAAGTGGGAGATTCAGTTTCAAGGATCTGCCCAAATCAATGTTCAAAAGCTATACCAGATCAGAGGCTATTGCTTTGCTCCAGGCACCTGCCTGCAAAGGCAGGGGAAGAAGAAAGGGAATTTCTTTTGCTTTGTTTTTCAGTAACAATTCCATCTCTGGGAAAGATTCAGCTTACACTTCAGAATGCAATACAGAGCACTTCATTATTTATCATCTCTGTTCTTTATTCTGCAAATATTCATCCTCACTGTGAGATCTCACCATGACAAGACCCATAATAGTTTGCAACTATTCTTACAAGAATCTTAAAGTGTCCTACAAGCATGATTCTTCAGTATAACATCTTGTGAAACAATACTGATAGCCCAACACTATAAAGACACTTAAAGAAAACTTACATTTCTGATTCTTTCTTGTCTTTGTTCAACCCACTAAAGGCAAAGCCCTTTTCTCAGTAAAAATCAAAAGAGACAGTTCTAAATTACACAAATTACAGTTAGTTAATCTTTTTCTGAGTCAAGGCCAGGGCATTTTTCCAAGAGATGTATTGTGGATCTTTCACTAGAAACATATGACTGAATCAGTAAAGAAAAAAAAACAAACAAAAAAAAGCAGCTAAAAATAACTAGCTAATAGAAAACCCAAAGTGTGAACAAATCTCTTCTCACAACTTGCCTTTCACTTCAGGTGGGCTGAGCAGAAACCTATATACAAATGGATTAATACCATGATACAAATCATGCCAATGAAGGAAACGCCTCGTGAAAATCTGAGAACAAAAGTAGAAGGAGAATCTAGACCTATTTCCTCCCCATTGCAGAGCTGCAAAGTTAGACACTGCAGAAATCAAACTTGCAAATTGGAAGAAAATGCTAAAAGATCCTAACTGGTCTTCCTCATCCAACACAAATCTAAACAGTCATTAAACCCATACAATGAACTACTCAAGTACACAGTTTCCTGCACAGGTTGTTATGAAATGTTACCACTACCTGCAATGTGCAGTAATAAGTCTCAAATTAGTAAATGCAAGAACGATTTCTGCTGTACTTTGTAATTTAGTTGACATATTAAAAAAGTAAATGAGGGATCGCAGTACATGACCTGTGACGGAACTCCACTCAGGACAGCTCAGCAAGCACTTCCAGGCAGTTAAAAAACCAAAACAATACAAAAAAACCCTATGCCATAACCTGTAAGGTCTTCAGTGAGGCTCAACAAAATACAGAGCCCAGTTTCTAGATAAAATTGGACAGCTCTTCTACTCTAGTTTGTACAGCGCAGCTGTACTATTTTTAAGGTAGCCCATGCAATGTAAACACTGCATGGGATGTGAAAACATACCCACAAGAACACATACTTCATTCGACTCTCGGATCAAATCAGTAATATCCACTTTTGGATGGTCACTCTTTGTATCGCTGAGGCTGGAGCCCTGCTGCACAGCTGGAGGCAAAGGACTGTCTTTGTTAGTGACACTGTCAAAAAATCTGCACAAAGCAAACACACGAGAAATCAGTAGGAACCAGTTTATCACAACAGAACAATAACATTAGCAACTACTGAATAAAAAGTGTGCAGAGAATGGAAAATAGCAAAGAATATCAGCATGAGTAGCACAAATATGCTGTAATAGTAACAAAGATAAAAAAACATGGGAACCACCTATCCAGAGGAGGTTATAGAGCTTCTAGCCCTGGGATTTTTTAAAGACCCAGCTAGACAATACCATGGCTGATGTGATCTAAGTGCTAGCAGTAATCCTCTGTTGAATGGGAAGTTAGACTAGAGACTTGCCAAGGTCCCTTCCACTCAGCATTTCCCTGGTCTTCTAATCCATCTAGTAAGGTTGTAATACATAACTGGGAGAGAGGAAAAGAGGCTTGTTCTGAACTGTGACTGAGGCAGTCTTAATTCCCTCAGATGCACAAATCAAGACATGCCTGATCTGCACCTATTCATCATACCTACATAACCAACTTAAACAGACCCATTATGGAGGCTGGCCAAGTCCTGAGGAAGACATATCTGCAGACTGATGGCTTCCTTCTTCTTGAGAAGAGGCAAACTACTGTAATTATTTTTTAAATAGACCAGCATGCTGCAGGCTGGATTAACTGTGCAACAGAAGTATTACAGCCAGATAAAATGTTGAAAGCAAAAGTTCAAAAGGAGTTCATAATAAATCACCAAAATCTTGGGTGTCAAGTAGAAACAGCAGTTTTTTATTAATTATTGAATTAAATCAATTAATTAATGAATTTAAAATTTCATTACACTTCTAGATTTTAGATTTTAATATATTTAAACTGGGTGAATATACTCTTACTGTTAGTTTTTTTTAAGTGTTAAATATTTAAATGAGTACAGCTAGGTTTTACAATAAATACCAGGCTGCATGGTCTCTTATAATAAAAATTACATCTTCCTCATTAATTCTGTAGCTCTACGCTATTCAAACATGCAACACTTGAAAGTCTCACTAAAAGGAAATTCTTATTATCAGTTCTTAATAGTCATAACTTGGGGACTCCTACAGCACAGTCATTTTGTTGTTTTAGTACCCACAATACACAATCACAGCAACAACAGAATTTAGGTAGGTAGTGAAGCAAAAACTGCAAGCTTTGCTTGCAGTACATCAGTTTAAGATGCATTTTATGTTGCATATTTGAATTTATTCTTCAAATGCTAATATAGAACAAACATCTCGTCATGATTGTCCTCATTGCTTTATTTTTTTTGACTTATTTAATTTTAAGCCATGAGCAGTAGAGGAGCCAGGAGCCTTTTAAACTACAAGAACAGGATGTAGAATATGTTGTCAGTAAGTTAATGCCCAAACTGTTTGGAACAGTCTTAGTGTGCTCTAGATTACCCCATGATTAAGGAAAGCCACCTTCTATAAGTGATATAAATACTAGGCAAAACCCACACTGCTTTTACTTTAAAATACAAAAATTGGCAATGCTTTTAGAAGAACTTTATTGGAGAATGGGATTTTCAGAGGATCCAGGCACACTTTACAGCCACCCATTCCAGAATTTCAGCCTGAGATGAACACTTGATTCCTTTAAAGCCTTTGGAAGTCTTGATCAAACGTCTTCTCAGCTTCCCAGAATGACTTATCTATCTGTAATTATAGTAGCTGCTATGCAACCCCTGAGAATAACAGTTACACTGATACCTGTTGAGAACAGTGACTGCTTCTGCATCATCCTTACAAGTCAGCAACTTCTCCATGTTGTATTCCAGCACTGCGAGACCCAGCTGCAAGATTGCCTTTATTCCATCATAGAAGAAACAGTCCACCACATTGACTGCACTTTCAATAGGCAGCACGCTGATAAAAAGGGTAAGGAACCAGGAGAGAGAGACCGAGGAGAAAAAAGTCATGTCCGACATGTGGTCTGTCAACTGAGGCAGATGAACTCTGATGAGCTCCTCAAACACTGCCTGATCTACCAAGGCACCTGCAGGGAAAGGATAACAAAACCACCACCCAAATCTTAATACAGAGAAGCATACTTTTCTCAGAGCATCGGCCAGAAATAAAGCCCATGTCCTAATGCAACTTTGTCAAAAAAACAAAAACAGGCCTAGCTGCATGGAACACAGGCTTCATTCCCTGTGCTGGAAGCTATGCACTCTATGCATGGGTCTAGAGCCTTTCTGCAGGCTGTGAAGTGTGTTAGCAGTTTGGGGGTGTGTGGCTACTTCCAGTGATTCTCCTGTCAGCCAATACACCCTCTCTGCAATGAGAGAGAAACTTCACATCCAATTTTCCTCTAGCATATACACCTGCAAGTACTGAGTATGAGATCAAAGACTAAATCTGGACCTGGAGTAACTCTTTTTCCTTTATTTAAGCTGTCTAACTTTCAAAGAAATAGTATAAATTGCAGTTATAATTCCAAAAGAATAATGTAATAGTCTGACTACTTCCTGAGTAGTTATGCCTAGAGTAATGACAATATCTGAAAAACATATCCACTCCTACTTAAGGAGCCTTGGGACAGTCCACTTTCTACTGCAAGTACTGAAACAAATGCAACAGTTTCTCTCCACTGTTCTGTCTTCCACTCATTCCTTGCATTTGCTCTTAATGAATGATCATTTACATTCAATTCTAGATAGATAAAAAGACAGACGGATGTTACCAATGATTCGACGATTGAAATAATCGGGTAGCATCCTTTCACACACAGCAACCAAAAGCCAGAATGCTTCCTCCTCTTTAGCATACAGCAGAAGGACTGATGTCAAAATATTCATTGCCTGTAACATTTAAACAGAATGGAAGCATTTATGAGGAAAGATGGTGAAAACACAACTGTTGTAATTTTTTAAAATTTATATTTCTGAAAGCACTTTACAGCATGTTTTTAGAGTGCTGGGATAACCTACAGTTGTATCCAGTGTAAGACTTTTACCTCTATATTATAAAATACAGAGCACAGTATTCAAACTACTTAAAATATTTTTAAGTGCTAAAAATGTTGTAAGAACGCAAAGGCATATATGAAGTGGACATGACAGCATTTATCAATAAATTCAAATACAATGTAAAAACCCATGTTACACATGAAATAAGCAAAGTGAACTACTGAGCAGTGACTGATTTTATGAGGTGCCACTATACTGCCATCATGCGCTAATATTTAGACAACCAACACTAAGAGTCTCAAAACTGCTGTACCTGACAATATCCAATTTGGGGATTCCTGTATGCATAAGCTGTAAGAACTCTCCTGAGTGCAGAAATTCCTGTGTCACTTTGAAAAGCAGGATGCTCAGGTAAGGAGCGACGTAAATCTCGTTCAATTTCATCAGTAGCTAAAGTGCAGGTTCCTAAGGACTTTTCCACCAACTCAGTGTAATAACCAGGGTTGGACGCCATATCATTTACAGCACCTGCCAATACATTGTATTGCATAGTATTAGAGGACAACAGTCAAGTATCTACATGATTGTCTAATTTGTATAAAAATTTTTGGTGTCTACTGAGGTACCTCATGAATCTCCAGATGCTACTGCAGTACTGTATCAGACTAATTCTACTGAAATTAATGGACTTACTCTGAAATGAAAACAGAAAAGCAAACCAAAATAAGGCTTGGAGGAAATCTAAGTCACTTTCCATTATAAAGTTGATTTTTTAATTATTTTTTTTTTGCACTGGGGGCAAGGGAAGCATCTTTTCACCTATGATTTTGCCCAAGTTTTCTGGCAAACACGATACCTTTCCATATGTAGAGCTGGGAACAGATTAGAAAAAAACAGGCAAAGGACTGATATTTACCTAATTCATTCCATAACTATGTCAACACCTTCCAAGACAGAGAGATTAGTCTGGTAACAGAAGCACAAATGCCCATGTAAACACTCAAACAAAACTAGTAAAGATAAATCCATGTTCACATGTCCTCAAAGGAACTGCCATACAGTAGGCTGAATTATGAGTACAAAATGCATTTGTTACAATAAACAGATCTTCTGGAAGAGCAGAAAACTCTACCCAGGGGAACACAGTGAGTACAGCTAGTGGTAAAGGTCCTGGGTGGCTCCTCAAAATCTGCAGCTTGTTTTCTGAATCTGACACAGGCTTCCTGTATGACCCTGCTCAAGTCAGTGGCTGCTGCTTTTCCAAGTGTTTCAGTGAACAGAAACAGAAAGTGCAGAGGTCCTGTAAAGCAGTGTCTTAAATCCCTGGGCCCCCATTTCCTCAAGTTAAGTGCTCTGATACAGGTGTGTTCTACAGAAGAAAGTCACAAAAGCACACTCAGAGCTTTGGAAAGATCCCATGTGTGTAAGAAAGTCCACAATTCCTGTACATCTCGCTCTTTAAACCAAGCAACAGCACATAGCAAAGAGCTGCCAATAACTGGGGCCAAATTCCTTTTTGTGTGTGTGTGTGTGTCTGGTAATGCTGTCCTCTCAGAAAGCTTAAATCAAAATAACTGAAACACAGGCTCACAAACATACTTTTCTTCTTAGCAAGTAAAGAGGCTTTGCTGAAATTGATTGTCCCCTGGCACAGCATATTCTTATTGTTATTTTTCAGTTAAGCTTGATGTAAAAGAAGCAGATGCAGGTTTAGTTTGAAACAATGCAAAACAAAATAATAGACAAAACTGTAATTTTAAAGTGTCTTTCCTCAGAAAAATTTACATATATTGCCAAAGGTAAGAGCATTTTTTGTCAGACTATGTTCAGTCAGTAGAACATCCATGTAGAACATCCATACAGTAGAGTTCACAAAATGGATCGATTATACTTGCTACACAATACCTGAGAAGAGTAGCCAGAGCTCTCCTCTTAACGCCTCTGGTATCCCTCTTACAACAAGATCTCGAGTCTTCTTTGTTCGAAACATACTGACACCATGTCCCCGTTCAACAAAGAGGATGTTCCAGGACTGTTCTTTCATTTTTTCTTTCAACTATGAAAAGCAGAAGACAAGCATTAAAGTATACTGGAAGATTCTCCTCAGGTTTCAGAGAACAGGACCAAATTTTGCTCTAGTTATATACACATAAACTGGAAATGACAGCATTGGCATCCGTACTGATACATGAAATGAGTGCTGATGCAAATCAGAGCAAAATCTAACCTGTGCATAGTATCAGTTTGGCATACAATGCAATCTCCTACATGACCTACTATTCTTCAAAGTGTATTATTACAAGAATGTCTATACCAGATCAGACAAAAGGTAAAGAAATCTAATCCAGTATCCCGTCTGACAGAAACACGTGCCACAGGACAGCAAGGTCAAGCAAACACCTGCAAAATCCTCCTCCATCCTCCAGCAAATAGAAGCTCAGGCATCTCCTCAGCAGAGACAATCTCTCTGAATTTAACAACACACAGCATATTTTTCTGTGCAAATTGCTTTCTGAATTCAAACCTGCCACCTTCTAACTTCGCTTGAAGCTCCCTTGTTGCTGTATTAAGGCAGCCAACAATCACTCCCTTTCACCTTTTTCAAGCCACTTCTAAAATCAACTATTTCCTTACATCCCACTTGAGAATGATTCCAACCCATAAACAGCAATAACTGTATGCAGGCTGGGTTTTCATTTTCAGAGAATCATATAATGCTTTGGATTGGGACATTAAATACCTTGGACTGGGACATTAAAGCTCATCTAGTTCCACTCCCCTGCCATGGGCAGGGACACCTTCCACCAGCCCAGGTGGCTCCAAGCCCTGTCCAACCTGGCCTTGAACCCTGCCAGGGAGGGGGCAGCCACAGCTTCTCTGGGCACCCTGTGCCAGGGCCTCACCACCCTCAGAGGGAAGAATTTCTTCCTTATATCTAATCTAAATCTGCCCTCTTTCAGTTTAAAACTGTTGCCCCTCATCCCATCCCTACACACCCTGACCAAGAGTCCCTCCCCAGCCTTCCTGTAGCCCCTTTAAGCCCTGGGAGGCCACTATAGGGTCTCCCCAGAGCCTTCTCTTCTCCAGGCTGAACACCCCCAACTCTCTCAGCCTGTTATTATAAAATACAAATATGTTTTCTTTTTAGCAAGTAAAGAGGCTTTGCTGAAACTGATTGTCCCCTGAAACAGCATGTATTCTATCATGATTTTAAACGGTCATCACCATCTACTTGTTATGTTTTATTGTTCACTATTCAGCTAAACTTTTCTTTTTTTTTTTTTTTAAATCAATAGGTAGACAGCCCCATTTCTTACCTCTGGACTGAACCATCTGCACTGGCATCACATCAACAAAACCGCATAATTATCAAAGGACCACAAAGTACTAGAGATTTAAAGGGAGTGAATGAACAGTGATAAAGCAGCAAGACAGCTAACCAGTGCAAGGTGCAACTGTGTGGACAAATTGTGCCATCACAGTTCTCCTGAGTCATGCCAAAAATGCACTGCCAGCATAATGGATAAGAAAATTCAACAATTTATACAATTCCTATGGCAAAAAAATGAGAGGTACATTAAAACTCCCTCTTGGAAACAGCTGAAAAAGAATCTTGCATGTAAATACACACACACACACATATATATATATATAGATAGATATATATATATATATATAGATATATATATGTATGATACATACATACAAACAAATCTGCTTGTTGTAACTTGAGCCAATTTTCAAATGTCCTATTTTTGTTGCTGCTTTGTGATATACAGCATAATGTTTCCTTGGTAAAGAGTAAATCAATAGAAGGAGGGTGAAAAGAAGGTTTAGATTGCTTATGTATGGTGGCAGGTTTCTCTGTGCTAATTTGAGAGCTCTAACAAACAATGAGAAAAAGTACTTGGCCATGATGGTGAAATGAAATCAAGCAATGATTATTTGCAAAGGCAACTCACTGTCACAGACACATGTTTAATTACTCTGATAAATTAACATATTTCGATCCCAACATGTCTATGAACTGCTCTTTGTAACAGCAATAAAAATGTACTAACTCTAAATAATATCCCACAGAAATTCAACGGGCATAATGAGTTGCTTCCTTTTTTTGATTCATCATGCTTTGTTGCATTATATCAGTTGACAGATTTGGAACAGGATGCCTAAAAACGGTGGAAAGCACACAGAGGGATGACGTGACATCAGTGTCCTTATTCTCCCACAGTTTCTCAATCTTTCCTCAGTTTATTTACATAAGCTCCAAACAGGACTAGGAGAGAATCAATAATCAGGAAAATCTGCAGGAGAATGAAGCTGGATTAAGGAGGGGAACTAATAGCTTAAAACACTTATGCCTGTATAAATTTTAGATTTCATCAAGTATTTAGCAATCAGATAGAATGTTTTTACAAACTAGCATTTTCTGTCAACACAGAAGATAAAGAGTGTATGCTTATGCACTTCAGTAGGACCAGCCACGTAAGTAAAACCTGCTTCACAAAATGGAAACTGGCAAAAATTTCCTATTCAGACAAAATTGAAGTTACAGGCATTCTGCCTTCAGAGTAGGCGGTGGAGATATTGGAAACAGTGAGATAGATTCTTTGTAAAGTACAAGGTTACTAATAAACTATTGAGTATGAACCTAAAATGCAATTCTCTGAAGCAAAGCAACTGATGATCAGGCACTCCAACTCAACCAGGCTCCAGGGCTAAGAGAGGGTGAACATTGCTGCTACATTTTCTGTACACGCAGCAGTAAGATTTAACATTGTTAAAGCAACTAAAGGGGCCTAAAGGAAAAGCAGATTTTGTTCACTTTCGTTCAACATACCATAAAAAGCAGAACTTAAAATTCTGGATTCCCTTTTCTCCTGAACAAAGGGTGTTTATTTTCTGATAGTTCTAATATCAAACTTCATATCTTAATTTACTCAGTTCTGCTGAAAAACTTAAATTTAAATAAAACCTTTCTGTCTTCTTGCACATGCTATGGAGAAGCAAAAATAGGATGTCCTACCACAAAAACAATAAACGTTGTCCAGCGCATAACTTTGTTAGACAGAAGTGCAAAAGAATGAAGCAAAGAAGAAATGAAGTCAATTTCTTGATAACATTCTCCTTGCCACCAAAGAGTTTGTAGTGACTTTGTATCTTGACAATTCAGATAGTGAAACACATTCAACTATCACAAAACAAACATCCAACTCTTCCCTGAGGAGTGGAAGAGCAGGGGGTATTAGTTCCACGAAGATAAGGCATATCATTATTAAACAAGATAAGCAGAAAATTGAATGGAGCTACGAAGAAGCACCCTGTGGAGTCCAAATACAGAAAATGCAGATGAAAGAAGACTGGCAAAGCCCTAGAGGAAATCAGCAGCCTTGCTGGAATACATTTTGAATATACTTCAGTCCTTCCCAATTAAATTCCAAAAACTGTTAGCCATTCTATCCCTTACCATTTTAGAGTCTAGATTCTCAGCATCCTGAGGATGGTAGACAGTCATTAGGGCTTCTGTACCGACAGTTTTGCTGTTATCTCTCTGACCCATCTTTGATGGTCCCACATCAAAATCCTTTGGACTCTCAGAGGTAGAACTAGCTGCAACCTTGAAAAAAAATTTAACAGTGGTAGTTATAAATGCCAAACAATCCTTCAAGAAGCACCACTGATACCAGAAACTGTTTGCTTCTAGAGCATGATTATTTATTATATTGTTACAGGTACCAGATACAGACTTCCAAAACAAATTAAAAACAGCAATCCCTGCTCTGCACAGTTGGGCTTTCACGGGGCTGCACTTGAAAAAAATTAAATCTATCTCTACAGCCAAAAACTTAATTATGCAAGGACAAATATTCATAATGAGAACTGTAACAGACAGGGAGGCCTGACCATCCGTCACCACTGAATTCTTAAGAAAAACATTCATTTAAACAGAGCCATATACTGAACTACTGAACTACAGAGAAATGCCAAGAGCATCTAAAAACCAGCATTAGAACCTGGATTGTTTTTCAAAACCTGATGGAAAACAAAGTAAAAGAACCCAAACAAGAATGCATTCACAGTAGCACCATTGTTTAAGACATTCTCTTTCATATAGGCACAGAGTTATTTATTTTTCTACACCTTAAAACCAGAGGGACATGACTTAGCCTGGTATGCCAAAATAATGCAGATATAACCTAATAAGGTAATATAAAAGGTAACACCTCTGAGCAGCAGACCATAACACTCAGGTCTCCCAAGGCTGTGCTGTACCTTATCAGCTGAGCATTTCTGCTAATATCAAACTATCTTGCTTTTATTTCTCATTTTTGCTTTTTAACACTTAAGAATCAAAATCTCAAGGTAGAGAATTTGTTGATATAATAATTATTGTCTACCAAAAGGCATTTATTTGTACGCTTCTCCACTCTTACAACTGTCACTTTAGAGGCTACTCCAGCTGATTCTAAATGTTTTTCAGGGGAAAATCTTCACAGAAAAGATACAGCAACTATAATAAGCAGTGAGTGCTTGTTAGGCCTGTTTTGTCATTGCTTTCTTATTTCTCATGCATGAAACTACACATACGGACTTCTTCACATCTAAAAACCACCTTATAAACATTCCATCAACTTCCCAAGTCAAAAAGTCAGCTGGCAAAAATCAAACACAGCTACACGTAATTTTACATCACACTGGTAGACTTTTGTTTTAATGTGAAAGGTCTGAGGGAGAGAGATGGGAACGTGATTTTTTTTAAAGCAAATAAAAGTAGATTTAGACAACTTGAAATCTAGAGGTACAGCAGACATTGTTACCCATCTTGTATCCAGGTTCAGGCTTAAATATAAATGTATTGCATTACACAGCAAAACACTGACAATGATACATAAATTCTTAGTAAGACTACACAACCTTATTCCTAGGAACAGATACTAAGAAATTAGAATTAGCAGAGCAATTACCTCAGTACTGACGTGTTGTGGACTTGAAGTTGCATTGCATTTCATTCTGAGCTTTGCCACAAGCTGTTCGAAATCCCTGACCTCTGTGAAACGAAAAGCTGTTTTGCCTTTGGTACTAATGCTGACTCCTCTGTTGGCTGGATCTGCCTTGTCCACCCCGATGACCTACAGGAGCAAGGATACAGAAATTAGGCAACAAATTTCACTAGCTTATTTCTGAAAGAGAAAACCTGTTAAAAACAGCTTTTAGCAGGTTCACCTGCTAAAAGTAGGTGAAACATTAGCATAAAGCACCACACAAGCAGAATCAGTAACACAAGTAACAAACTCCCTACTCTTAAAGCTCAGTGGTCTGGACCTATTTTAGCACAAGGTAATAAGTATTATGCAACAGATTTTCAACAGAGTACCAAAAATCTCTGAAAAGGTTTTCCCAGCTGCGGGCACTGAGCTTATTTGAAAATCTTGCCACCTCCTACCTGCCGAAGCTGTTACTTTTTTTTCTTACCATCTGAAAGCAGACACAACATGGCCTTTGAAAATAATCAAATGAAACAAGTTTCACAAGAATGAATTTCCACTGAGAATATCCTTTCAAAGACAGCTGTCATATCACATGGCAGAGCTGGAGCTGATTTTAATTGCCATGATGGAACAGTTACAGATTAGAGAAGTTAATAATGCACTTTAATAATGCACAACAGAAGTGAGACAATCATGAATAGCTAGACCGACTGCCATTGCTGATGCTTTTACACTGTTATAGGTGAAGAATGAAAGACCACTTAACTATGCAGTACTGTAGAACAAATAGTGAGGGCTTGACAACCCACAAGAATATATTTAGAGTCAGCTCCTTTAAACAGCCTCTTCTTGTTTTTCACAGGTTGCGCAAGTATCTATTGTTTGCAGGACTATTTATAGAGGATCATATAAAATGCTTTACCTGGGTGGGGAACACCGAGTGTATTGTTGAAATTATGTCCGCTCACCCCCCTCTGACAGGTGTCTTATGTCAGGCAGTACGTACACAGGATACACAGAGCAATTACAGAACCTGGTTAACTTTGAGGCTGTTGTAAAATATGTCTAGGTGCTGACAAAAAGCTTTTATCACTGGAAGACTAAAATGTGGCAATGTCCCGGATCACAGGAAGTCAAGAGAGGGATGGAGAAGGGTTTATATTATCAGAAGTTATTCCACAGTCTAGCTATAGTACTCTATAGAAATATGAATGCTGTGTCCTTTGCAATACAGTCCCTATTCAGTGTGTTGAGACTATCAGCTGTAACGGCATCGATACTTTTTCACTGATGACCGTCAATGGAATTTCCTGACTTTTGAACAGACAGCACTGCTCAACTGCTGCAAAAAGAATTGCACTACTGAGATAAGAAAGAAACACTGCAGAGCGATTACTAATCTTCAAGATCCTCTACACTCTCCAATTCTTTACTTTTTATCTTGAGAATCTGTCATTAACTCAACTTCAAGAATTAAGCATTTCATTTTAAAAAAGTATTAAAAAATTTGTATTCTGCACCCAGCTACAGAAAACAGAGCAAAAAGAAAAGGGAAAGAGGATACAGGGAACAAAGCTGAAACGTGAAAGCAGTTCTATAAACCCACAAACAGAATTCCTACATGTGGTATCCAAGGTAAGGGGAAATACATAACATCGTGTAAAGTAAGCAGATTCTAATGAAAATTTGCTAAACTGGCATTTAACTACACAAGGGCAAAACTTCTAGTATAACTGGCTCTGTCTTGCAGTTTGCATTACCTCTCTTAATGGAATGATTACACTGCACAGGCTGCCATCCTGGCTAGCAAAGCAGATGTAGTTTTCTGAAATGCACATTTTTCCATGGGTGTTGTAATGACTGAAAGGAACCCATAAGAAGCATTCATGAACTTCCTTCAAGGTCTCTTCTTTGGGTAGCCTGAAGAATGCACTAAACTGTTCACTGTGGGCATGGCTCTCCAGGCCTCTAGGTTAAAAACAAAACAAAAAACGGGGTAGGAGAGACAAAAGAAAAATAAAGTAAGTTTACAATGCCTTTACAAATACCAAAATTAAAAATACCTTGGGAAAAGACCGTAAATCATCACGCTCTCCCATAATCCATGGGGTCGATCTGGAGGGTTCTATGGTTTGCTTGAAGAGGCCACAAAGGGCAGGACCACACCTATCTATATATACCCACTTAACAAAATACTTGAATACTTCATTAAACAGGAATAGATTCAAGCATGTTCTTACACAGTGAAGCACTTTGCCAAATCAAGGCCTAAAGGTAGTGCAGAAGAACATACTAATAGCCTGATCTATTCTGTTACCGCACCCATCAGAATAGTCTGCTTAAACCTAGAACAAGTTTTTGCTTGACAGAGGGTTAATTAGCTAGAAATGTAGCACATGTTGTAAACATCTGCCAGGGGCTAATTCTTCACAGGTAACTGCAACCAGAAACAACGTTTTGGTTGTAAAGCAACATCCCTCCAGCACTGTTACCAAACTGAGGTATCCATCAGCCAGGAAATACAACTTAAACCAGGTTTTACTGTCAGCGTACTATGAAACTAAATAGATTTTTTTTTTCTTAAATCACAGGTACATGGAGCTTTAAGTAGGAACAATTATCAGAAAAATGCTTTATCCTAATTTCTGATTTGCAGACAAAGAATTAGTCCCTTTATGTGAATTCAAACTACCTAACTACACACTTGCTTTTTCTGGTTACTTTTCAACAGTAAATAGCTGAGGTCCACATATCAAAACCTGAACATTTGAGCGAGGATTTGGACAGTGCCCTGAAGAAAAGGTGACATTTGCTTCAACAGAAACCAGAACTGAAGAGAAACTAGAAAATTACAGGAAATAATCACACACATTCCTTGAGAAAGAAGGACTCCAACCATCAGGTTACTAACGTACACAACTTTTCTACTGCCTAAAATACTGCCATAAATAAGGAAAGCCATGCACTCATCTGCAACTCATTGATTTTATCACCCACCTTCAGTGGCAGAAAAGCCAGGCAGTTATTATTTACATGTTTATTAAATGATTTATTCTCCACCTTCTCCTTCCTCATCAGTCTCTCTAGAGACACTGCAACTTTATTCTTAATTTTCTAATCCTAAATGCTGCTAGAATGCTGTTTAAAAATTCAAACCTATAGTTGAAGACCTGCTCTGAAGATGTGATCACTTCCTGCCTTCATGTAGACTTCTGATACTGCAAAGTAACAACAAATTACAATGCCTCACATTGTTTCAAACCCAAATTTTAATGAGACACTTGTTTAAGGGAACACCAGCTTTGCTGACATCTACTTATCTCCTTCAGACAAGGACTTTCTTCCCCTTTGCCTAAAAAAGTCTGTCTCTGGGCCCAGAGCAGATAGACCCTAAGTAATACATTACCTCTTGGTGATCTGCAGGGGGTCATGAAGGACTAGATCATTTTCAAATGTCTCTTTGTCAAAAAGTCTTCTAACAGCATAGTTCGCCAGCTGCTCCATGAGAAGGAACGTTTCACTGATGTGTAAAAACATGGAAAAATAGTGATCTTCCCCATGGGAGCACACATGAATATTCTCTGTCAGAATCACATTGGAAGTCTTCTCAAGTTTTGATATTTCATCCCAGGAGATAATAAGTTTTACTGAAAATACAAATATAAGCAGATGTGAGTAACTTCTTGTTAGCTGCTACCCTCATATTAAAAAAGAATAGTAGTCAACAGCACCAATAAAAGATAATTAAGCAATACAGTTAAATGATAAACACTTGGAAAGGGCTACAAACTCACACACATAAAAAAATACTACCTCACAATTCCTATAAATAATTCCATTAGAAAAAGTTTTATAGAAAGAAAAACATTAAAGACACACCCTGTATGAAAATACAAACTTACATCACCTTTCCTTCGCTGTCATGTGAAACTGCAAATTGCAAACACCATCATATAAGCTACCCTACTTCAAGAGTTTACCAATAGGGCATCTTGAAGTAAATTGATCATTTAGAGGAACCATGCCCATTAGGTATGACATTTCCCAATACAAATGAAAATCAGATCAGAAAAGATCCTACTTTCTTTAAGTTTTCTAGTTTTCAGATAAATACAGTTACAGCTCACACTCTTAGAGGCGTTTGGACAATTCAAACACATGCAAATGTTACACAGGAAAAAAAAAAAAAAGACCTGTGCAATTATCACCAGTACATAGTGCACCCATGTGAAATATTAAGTCTGTGTGTGAAGAAATAACTGCAATCCTCACAGACTGAATTAACATGCAGCATGAACTTAAGATGACAGACAACTTTCAGTTACAGTCAACTGCAAGAGGTCTGCCTTCTCGCTGAAGCTTATGTAGAGGAAGAAAACTATGGACATTGTGCAGCAAGTTACACAAATGTATTCATTTCCATAAGGTATTTTATGTTTGCAGTTTTTTCTATCCTACGTTGACATCTGACACATGGTAAAATAACTCCATTAAGACACAGGAAAAATTCTTCCAAGTCTGAAAAATATGTAGTAAAATGCGAATGGACTAGGCTTAGTATTGAAGCTTACTTACTTTCTGCTCCCAGCAAAAATGAGTAAAAGCTAAGGAAGTTGGTACTAAGATAAAGCCACCCTTGACAGGGCACTCTGCCCTTCCAATAACTGCATGAGTAATAGGTAACCAACTTCTCCTGCTCTGGTAACCCAAAACACTTTTCAAACTTCATAAGACCTTCACGAAACTTCTCGGGATCTTCTTCTTTTACAAAAGAACCTTTTCCTTCTTCAGCAATCAAACCCTAAAACAAAAGAACCAGTTACTTTACATATGCATCCACATGGGTGGGTGTCATATATGCACCTGAATATGTACAGTGCAGCACTCTCCTAAAAGGACAGTAAGTTTCACAGGAATAACAGTCTTGAGGATCAAAACACAGGTCACAAATCAAATGTGCTATTTGAGACTCATCCACCAAGTCTCCCACACAACTCAGGCAAGACCCACATTCCCAGATCTCCTCTTCTGAAATAAATACATTTTCCTCACTTAATTACAAGAATTCCTGGGCTAAATATTTAGCATATATGAAGTGAACTGTTGCACCTTCACACTTCCCAGGCATTATTAAAATTATTGTGAAATAATTTATCAGCAGTTTTAGACCACTATCTAAAGATCACTATCTGGTGTGTCATTTAGCAAGAAGAGTTTATGTCAAACAACTTTACATAATTGTGAGGCAGATAAACAGGAACATTAAATTGTGTGGAAGTTAACAGCCACATACTACTCAAACAGAAGTATGTAGCATTATGGATCTGTCCTTTGATATTCTAAAGAGGACATATTATTTGTGAACCTTTATAAAAAACAAAAATACAAAAATACTTAGCCTTTTCTAATTATGTCCTGTGTCTGTTACTTACTCTTATCTTTCCCTGGACAAAGCTTGTAATATCTTCATTTGAATCAAATACTGATAAAGTCTTCATAACATTGTGTTCTAACCAGTCCCAGTGCTCTGTTATTTCTTCTCTGCTGGATCCTGATTGAAAGAGAAAGTTAATATTATTTAAAATTAGGACAGACTTTAATCATTTCACTAAAAATGTTAACCAAGAGAACACCTAGCAAATTCCCAATTCACAGAGTAATTTAGATACACAAGTCCAAATCACAAGTCTCAAATTTATCATCCAACTCTTGTGTACACTAAAAATGTATTTGGCGCACATTAAAAGCGTGCCCTGCTGTGTTTTTATCTTTCAAGCCCTTTATGCAGCTATATTTCTAGCCTTTTCATCCAGAAGCATCTCAACTTTGTCAACATTGTGTGGCTCAGTGCTGAAGCCCAACTTGGACTGACAGCTCCTTCAGCTCAGCAGTACCTCCCCCAACACAGATGGCAGAGCATCACTGGACAATCCCAGTCTAAAAGTCCAGAAGATGGGAAATGTGAGATCAAATTGAGACTAAGAAAATGAAATCTGAGCTTCTGATATCCTCAGCTTCAATCACTGGCCCACAACAGTTTCCAGAGCAGAACTCCAAGAGTTAGACCTGCTGTGCAAAACCCCTTCTAACAAGGGTGAGGATGTAAAGATTACATCACTGTAACCAGGAAGGTAGCAAAGATTTCTCTTTGGATACTTGAAACAACCATTTATGCTGCTTCCAACAATCAGTTGCTGCTTGTGCTCAGTATAAGTCATGGTTTCATCTCATTCTCTATCAAGTCATATTTGAACTATGCTTCTAACCACACTAAAGTTTAGGCAACCATCATTCAGGAAACAATGTTATCCTACCTACAATAAAGTTCTGTTTATTTAATTCCAAACAACACTTTTTTTTTTTCATGCACTTGCAGGCTTCTACAGGAGGACAGAAGCAGAGCTGCACCCCATAGGGAAAACATATATCAGAACTAACTCCTGACGCAAGAAAAAAAGGTTCACCAATTCATACAAGCTGAACGATTCTTGAAACAACATTTGGCACCACCAGAATTCGTATTTTTTTATTCTGGACCCTCTGGGACTCAAACACATGGGAATAAGGACATTACATATTCATTACATATGTGCAAGAGGAGTAATTTAAAAAAACTGTCATCAGTAACCAAGTAACCAGAAACCATAGAGCCAAGATAAAATTCAATGTTCCAAAAATATAAATACTGCATTTTCAAACATGTTAGAGAGAAGACAACCTTGTTACTTTACTTACTTTACACTGCTTTTTAATATAGGTTTCAGACAGCTATCACCTATTATATGGTAAATGTCACTGCAACTTTATAGCAAAGAAAAATCTATCGCACCTGAACTTTCCAGAAATACATTTAGATTAATGTTTTACTTCAAAGCCAAAGGAACACTCTTACTTACTAGCTACTTTTATAACTAGAGAAATGTGGTAGGCCAACTTCAAAATTCTTATGATAATTCATCTTATTCTTTTCACATACTCAATTACAAATTATGCAAGTGGTAATAGGTAATGAGCAGAGATGACAACTAGTGAAACAACAGTAGAGGTCCAACAAATTCAATACCGGGCCAGTTCTTTAAAGACAGGTGGCTCCCCACCAGATGGCAGGAGACAGGGAGAGGTAAAGAAAGAACTTACACAGGTTTGAATAAAGAGATTCTAGAATATAAATTAATTGGCAATTTCATCCTCCGCAGGAATGCGCACAAATAAAATCAGTCAGTGTAATCACATACTACCAATACCCCTAAGCAAGAACACACCTTGAACGATTTCTTTTTTCTCAAATTACTTTGCAAACACTAATTAAACAACTTACAATCGACCCCACAGAATTAGTTAAAGTTGCCTTGGGAATGAATAGAAATTGTTCTAAAAATGGTTAAATAGTTAGACTGCACCACACAGGGTGGATTTGCAGCAACACTTCAAAAAATTATATGAAGAGTAATTAACATAGCAATTAAATTACAAACTAATTATTTTTCACAGACTAAAAGTGTAGACCAATTATTTGAGTCACAGTGTGAATCAGAGGCACAGATGTAACACAGTAAAGATTAAACTTTTTAATAAATATTAAATGATTTAGGAGCACTGTTTTAGAACCTTAATATGTAATAGCAGGAACAAAATGCAGTCTCTTCAATTTCTTCATTTCACAGAAGGAACAATCTGTTTTCTAATACAACGTACAACTATATTATGTGGCCTTTTGTTGTAATGTATACTTTATGTATATAAATGCAACACAGAACTGATATAAATTCAGTCCTAAGGCAAAGATTATCCTTATGTTTTCCCAAGGGCTGACCTGTTGGCATTAGAATTCCCCAGACTGTACTTCCAACATACTTATCAAAGTATCTTTTTGATAGCCTGTCACCATCAGTTCTAACTTCTTCAGTAGGAGTCCTAAAATTTTATTTACTACCAATTTACAAGCTGTTCAAATTCTATCAACTTTATAAGGCTGCCTGTTCAAACTGGCATGTCAAGAATTACATTTAATCATTACTAAAGGGTTCCAGCACTGACTACTGCCCTTCAAATAAGTCCTTGCAGAACGTGAACAGGAGCAGATTAGTATTACATCATGAAATGTGCAAACTATTAACTAAACAGCAAGAGGCACCATTTTTTATTTAAGGTGAAGCAATGACGAATCATAATAAAGCAATAATAGCAAAATCCAATGTAACAACAGCATAGTACTTGCCAGTGGAATTACTCATGCATGTGTTTGCAGAATGATAGATTGCCTGCAAAGCTCATCTTTTACCACAGAAAGCTAAAAGGAAGGCCTAGAGCCCAGAGAAGTCTAATAGAGACTTGTTTCGTTCATGGACACTACTAATTAAAAAAAATTAAAGCATGGAAAAATAAACTAAAATATATGGTTCTTTTTCACTGTAATTATAGATGTTTACAGAGTTTTCAATAAGCCTGAGAAATAGATTGATTCCACAACAGTGACTTTTTAGCATTAGACCACATGACAATATTAATTCATTTTAATATAACGAGAAGACCATGCCTCATAAGAAAAAACAATGATTCATCTAAAGAATAAAAGCATCCTCTCAACTTTTGGAATACAGGTCTCTTCGGATACCCAGTGGTTAAGCAGTCTGTATAAAGGAATCTTTATTTTCAGAAGCTGCAAAACTTAAAATAATAATAAAAAAAAAACCAACCAAAAACCAAACAAAAAAAACAGAACACAAAAAATAAACCCATGCACACTATCAAAAAGCATGCTCTCAGAAAAATCACATACTCCACTCTCAAGGTCAATTTTCTTTTCCATTCCTACTGATTAGCAACATAACATGAGAATGAACTTCTTACAGGATGAAAACAACAGATATGAGGAAGAATTCAGCTCTGACCATGACTAGAAACCCAGCTCACTTTAACAAGTAAAGATAAAGTAGAAAAACAATTAGGATAAACAGCTCCTGTTATTCCTACCTACAGCACACTTGGTACTGCCACAGGTCAATTTATCCCTGTCATTCTGAACTGTACCAAGTTAATTTGCAGCTTACCGAATAAAAGATTTTGCCTCTGGTAATCTAAGAGAGCACTTTAGTACTTAGATGGACTACTGCAGAAAGCAAGTAATCTGAAGTTGTAATATGAAGAGTCCATAGATATATCCACACACTACTGTCAATCACAGGTTTGCAAATAATTTTAAACCAGTTAGAGGTCACAGGAATGAATAATGATGTGAAAGGATTAACCCAAAAATGGATCTTGTGCTTTGTACCCTCATTTTTCACTTTATAAACTCCATTAGCTTCTAAATCATAGTACATACCGCATGCAATGGACCAGTAGACTTGAGAGTCTGGTGTCTGATGCAGGATGCGAAATGGGGCAACTTTTGATGTAGAATCCAACACCGCATCTAATGTTCCCACAAGAAGACCTGTTGCGTTTAAGAAAATGTAGACAGCATAGTGAAACTAAGGTTCTGAAATGTACACTCACTTCTGATTCCTATTGAATAAGAATCCTACCCAAGTAAGGATTAATGAACTCAGAAGCACAAATAAGTAAAGCAAGAAGTGCTCCCAGAAGAAACTCTTTGGGAGGTGATGATATTTTGATCCAGTAAAAGCCATTATAAGCACAAAATTAGGGTAAAGGAGTTTTTTGAGATGACCCCTTGAAAACAACAGCCATGTAGTATGGTAAACCAGAGGACAACCTGAAACATAACATGGTAGCTCCTAGCCTTCAATGTGCACAAGCAGTAACTGAACTACCTCTTACTCAGTCACTGTTGTTCCATTTTCCAGTCACAGGAAACAGCTCTTAGGATACAGTAATTCCATTATGTCTGATTTTTATGAAAATCCCACCATTTTTACATGAGAACACCATATCACATTTCCTGTACATATAAAAGTTTTGCTGCTCATACCACACTATAGCTAGAAAACGCCTGCTCTTCTTCATAAACAGCCTATCAGATGACTCCTACATCAAGTGTGGAACACTAATATTTCATCCTACCATCACATGCATAAGTTTATTACATAAAGTGCATTATTCCCATATAGATTATACAGCCCAGATACAATGGCCATGTCACCTCCTTGTCAATAGATATTGAATTAGCTCCTATTAAACCGAGTTCAGATCAAAATATACTAATTTAATTAATGAGACATACTTTATCTCTCCATAACTGGGAGCAAAAAGTTTCCTGAGAAAATTAGTACACATTTTATCTTGGCTGCCAAAATCATTCTTTCTGCACAGGAATAAAAATAATTAGCCCATACTGGGCTGTACTGGGTCTGGCTGAACTGGAATTGGCTTTCCCCTATAGCAGCCCTCACGGTGCTGTGGTTTATGCTGGGAGCTGGCAGGGTGTTGATAGCACCCTGGTGTTGTGGCTACTGCTGAGCAGTGCTTACACAGCACCAAGGCTCTTTCTGATATTTCTCCTAGCGGGATGGGGTGGGCAAGATCTTGGGAGGGGACACAGCCAGGACAGCTGACGCAAACCGACCGAAGGGATATTACATACCATATGACGTCTGCTCAGTATAAAGCTGGGAGAAAGGAGGAAGGGGGTGGGGTCACCCTTGGTCCTCCAAGGCAACCACTACGCGTATTGGAGCCCTGCTTCCTGAGAAGGCCTGACATCGCCTGTCCATGGGAAGTAGAAACTAAATCTGTTTGCTTTTGCTGCTGCGTGCGGACTTTTGCTTCGCTTTGCTTATATTAAAACTGCTTTTGTTTCACCCACAAGGGTTAGTTTATCTTCTTTCCCCTCTTTACCCTATTGAGAAAACAAGGGAAAAGTGGGGGTGGTGGGGGTGTGGAAGTGATAGAGCGACTTGGTGGATACCTGGCATTTAGCCAGAGTCAAACCATCACAGTCTTAAAAGTTCCTTTCAAATCTAAGAATTGGGGAATTCTAAAAGAAGAAAAATTCATACAGAAAAGATAAAAGCTTTTGGATTCTGATGCATGAGGAAAACTTTTTCTTCTTGCTACAACAGAAACAAAAATACTAGCAATAGTACCTCATGCTTCCTTCCTGTATACTTACCATCTTCCTAGCGTGGCCACATAAACAGAAAGTTCAACTAAAGCAAAGCTACCAAAGCAATCACACAGAGCTTTTACTATCCTACAGAAAGAGCTGCAAAATAAGAGCAGAGATTACCCCCAAAAATATGAAAGATGAAATTGGCCAAAGAGATGTTGTAAAGTCTGCTCCACAAACCCCCTGAGATCATGGCTGCAGGGCATTCCCCAAAATATTCCATTAGGCTAGAGAGCTTGTATGTAAAGTTAATATATCACTTATGGTACCTCTAAGTACCCTTCCATGGGTAACAGAAAATTATCTTTTTATTCAGGCTTTTAATATTACATAGAAGCATTAGATCTAGGTCATTTCAAACGCATCCCTCAAAAGTTACTTCAGAATTTTTAGGTTGGCTTCTGGAACTTCTTGCTCCACTTTCTTTCCATTAACCCCCTCTCCAATTCTGAAAAATAACAGTTGTGAGAGAATACAAGAAAGCAAAGTAAGACAAAACCGAGAAGTTTAGACAATCATCCTCAGAGTACAGTTTTCCTAAGGATACACTTTCAGCATAGAGCCTGTCTGACTACCTTAATGTGGCTATCCAAGTTTCAGAATGCTTTTGCCTCTCTTCTTCTTCAAAAAAGAAGTGAATAATAATGAAAAACACAAAAAACCCTCAAAGACCAGAACATTACATCCATCAAAAATACTATATTGTCTTGTCTGTGATTCATAGACTGTAAATTACTGTTGGAAAGTAGAATTTTTTTGTAGTTTCTAACTGAAGTCAGCCATTCAATAGGTAACGTTTATGTCTGTTTAAAGAGCTTTGGCTTACTGAATGAGTCATAACACTGAGCTCATCTCAAAGTTGGCTTTGCTTCAGCAAACATTTTATTTCATTCACAATTCTCATATCATTTTCTGTTATGATATACAGTACAAGGACATTAGTCACTATTTGTAAGGTTGATGCAACTGCTCAGCTTGAGAGGATGATTATAACAGCGCACTAGAACGCAGCACTCTGCAAAATGCCACAACAGTTTCCATCTGCTTGGAAGGTCATTAGATTTTAGACACAGTAAACTGCGTCAGGTTAGTATCAGTCACTTCAACAGTTCCACTAGTCAGTGCTGCTTAATCCAGAAATGTGATACAGACTACAGGTTTGTGCTTAAGCTGACAAATACTCCATACACTATGAATTAATTTCACAGCTATGGTGACTGGCATAATTGCGAGGAATTAGTCTCACCTTCTTACACTAGTCCTGGAAGTGCTCTATGAGCTGTGAATTTTTTGAGTACTGTATTATCAGTCAGCGTGTCCATAACTAGAAGTTGTTGGGTGCTCCTCAGCAAGCACTCCCTTTTATTGCTATTTCCCAGTGGGAAATCAAGAATCATTTTCAACCAGGCCAGTAAGACTACTAAACAGTTTGCTGGCACTCTGCTAGCTCCATTCACACAAGCCTGCTGAAGAATGAATCACTTTCCAGGGTTGCAAAGATTTAAAATTCACCTGTATAATGACAAGGATAATAATTGTAAAATAAAGGAGTAGGTAATAAAAGAATCAGTAACTGCTCAGCCCAGACACTAGCATTATCTCCATAAGGGAGGCAAGGGGAAAGAGCAGCTCGGGCCATATTTACCAATCCCTCACTGATGAAATGCAGTACATGTTGCTCTCAAACAACCAATTTTAGGGACAGCCTACAGAAGGTCATCTACTCTCATCTCTGCTCAAAGCTAGGCCCCACAGTTTCTACTGGGGATTCCACCTAAACCATCCTCTTGCCTCACTCAGGGAATGACTTCAGCTGTAGATACAGAAGGTGATACACATTTACACAGAGAAAGAGCTCAGCTTTTAGAAAATATTTTCAGCTTCACAGATACTTGAATAAAACTACTGGGAAATACCCCAGATACTTAAATAAATAAGGTTAAATATCCTAGAAAACAAAATAAAGGGCAAGGAATCTTGAATAGCTTTGAAATAAGGATTTATTCTTCCCAAGTCTCTAAAACACTTGGTTAGCAAAAGATCAACATTAGCTGCACTGGCATGCACCAATACATTTCAGCAATGAATTTTGCTCTCAGTTGTACCAATTTATGCAATAAAGCCAATATGTTACATGAAAATAACTGCTCAGCATTTTGCCATTTGGGGGCAACACCACTTTGTTCTCCTATATTTATTTCACCAAGTACATCAAGAGAGTACTAATATTCATGCTTTTAGGGGGTGGGGTGGGGTGTCATTTTCAACCCACATTCTCAAAGACTTAATTTATAGCTGTCAGTTACATCTTTTTTATTGCTGACAATCTTCTTTATTTTAAAATATGTATATATGTATGCAACCTGACTACTTCCTATCCTTTGTGGGACTAGTGTAATTCAAACAGAATAACGTGAGTTCCATTTTACCAATGAAGAATTGGAAGCAAAGAAAACATGCTGTTGTCTTTTTTTAAAAGAGCACTATTGTTCTGAAGCAAAGTTAGCACAAGCCTGTTCTCTCCTCTAATGCATAACAGTACCTCTGAGGTTGATAATTAATTATATTAGAACTAGATCAGACAGCCTCCTGATTTGCTACATTAGAAGTGTTAAGGGACATAAAATATTTATGACTGTAAGAGTTGTTTGCAAACAGAAATGTTCTATTAGCACAACACTGGTCAGCTCCATTACACAAAGGATTTTGAAAAGTAGACACTTTAAGGTACAGCTGAGTTCTCCCTCTCTATTTACATCACTGCAAAAAGAAGTTGTTTGAAAATACTGTAAAAGGCCTGAGTGGCAGCAGCAGAAAGTGATATTCTGCAGCTAGTCAGCTTCATTTTGGCAGTAACTGCTCACTTCTACAATCTGAAGAATCCAAAGGCTAATCAGAGCAGAACAAAAGGGGAAAAAATACTCTAAAACAAGTAAGTTTGTGATAGATAGTTGTGGTGGGTTGACCCTGGCTAGATGCCAGGTGACCACCAAAGCTGCTCTATCACTGCCCTGCTCAAGTGGATAGGGGAAGAAAAATAAAACAAAAGCCTTGTGGGTTGAGATAAGAACAGGGAGATCACTTAGCAATTACTGTCACAGACAAAACAGACTCGATGGGGAAATTAATTTAATTTATTGTCAGTCAAATCAGAGTAGGGTAATGAGAAATAAAACCAAATCTTAAAACACCTTGTGCCCACCCCTCCCTTCTTCCTGGGCTCAGCTTTGCTCCCAATTCCTCTCCCTCCTCCCCCACAGCAGCACGGAGGGATCAGTAATGGGGGTTGTGGTCAGTTCATCACCTGCTGTCTTTGCTGCTCCTTCCTCCTCAGGGGAGGACTCCTCACACTCTCCCCTGCTCCAGCGTGGGGTCCCTCCCACAGGAGACAGCCCTTTGTGAACTTCTCCAGCCTGAGTCCTTCCCACTCGGGGGCTGCAGCTCTTCACAAACTGCCCCAGCGTGGGTCCCTCCCAGGGGCTGCAGCCCTTCAGGCACAGGCTGCTCCAGCGTGGGTCCCCCACGGGGTCACAAGTGCTGCCAGCAAACCTGCTCCAGCGTGGGCTCCTCTCTCCACGGGGCCGCAGCTCCTGCCAGGAGCCTGCTCCAGCGTGGGCTCCCCACGGGGTCACAGCCCCCTCCGGGCACATCCCCCTGCTCCGCCGTGGGGTCCCCCCCGGGCTGCAGGTGGGTGTCTGCTCCCCCGTGGAGCTCCCTGGGCGCAGGGCACAGCTGCCTCCCCATGGGCTGCCCCACGGGCTGCAGGGGAACCTCTGCCCCGGGCCTGGAGCACCTCCTGCCCCTCCTCCTGCACTCACTTGGGCTCTGCAGGGCTGGTTCTCTCACATATTCTCACTCCTCTCTCCCAGCTGCTGTTGCCCAGCAGTTTTTTCTCCTTCTTAAATCTGTTATCCCAGAGTTGCTACCACCATCACTGATGGGCTTGGCCTTGCCCAGCGGCGGGTCTGTCTTGGAGAAGAAGCCACCCCTGTAGGTCCCCACTACCAAAACCTTGCCACACAAACCCAGTACAATAGCAAACATCCTTCATTTTGCTCAGATGTCTGTCATAGTTCAAGAGTTAAAACCATTTACAGGCATTCTCCTCAGCTTTCAGCATATGATTCTCGGGTACACAAAGAGACTTCATAGAATCCTGCAGAGGACAGGTCACAGCAAGGAAGCCTAGAGCAACCTTAAGAGAGGTTTTTAATAGCTATGTCCTGGTATCTAAAATTTCTAGGTTTGAAGAAGTATAAATGTGAAGAATAAAAATAATGAACTTCAAAATTATTTTTTTTGGTTGGTTTGGTACCATAGTCAATAAATTGTGAATTAAAAAGAAAAATAAATCTTGAAGGCAATGTAATACCTAGATACAACTGCAAGGAATAAAATCAATTGGAATAATATGTAAAATATTTACTACAAAATGGAAATCCATTGCATAAGTAAGCAAAGACAAATTTGAGTATCCCAACTACAATTTAAATGGACTGCATTTTTCAGCAATTCTTAAAAAAAAAAAAAACAAACCAGAAGATGCAGGTCTGTTAAAACACAAACTACCAGAGTAACATAGCAGACACTATGTAACTTCCACAAAGGCTTCTCTGGTGCACTATATAATACCAGGGGAGAAACACACATCCAGAGTGAACCACTGCCAAATTACAATGCAGGAGAGGTAAATTATAAATCCCTGGTAAATATTTATTTACACAGGCAGGATAAAGCTTCATTCCATAACAGCAGTTTTACAGAGCATTTTGGTTCATTTTTTTAAAAAAAGACTGAATCCCCAATTTTCACTATATAAATAGGGTACACATGCCATATAAACCATGAAAAGGCACTGTCTCTGTGTAGTTGATTTAAAACACATGAATGACAACTTGTAAGTAAGACCCTTTTTTCTACTTCCTCAAATTAAGCACAAGAAATCTTTTTTTGCTTAATTTTATTTCCCATTTGAACTTGATCTCACGACTAAGAAACCTCAGCTTAATAAAATACTGAGCATGGGCTGAGACACAAATGTTGTTAGTCAATTAAGACGTAAACCAGGTTAGTTTAAGCCTTCAATGAAAACAGATTTCATCTCCATTTACAATAACTCAAGTACATTATGGTCAGTGGTTATGACTTAGGTAAGACAACAGTAACTCATTAAACTAAGGTGTGTATCCAAGCCCTTGTGTGGCAATCTTCTCTGTGTGGCAATAAAGCTATCCTTGAAAGAAGGAAAAATCAGAAGCACAACTCTGAAAAAAGGTATTAGCCTCCTTAGAAGGTACAAAGAAAACATCACAAATATCACAGCTCCTCCTTACATTTGTTTTTGTACAGCTAAAAAGCTGTGTAACATAAATGGGGAAGCATGTGCTGGTCATTCTCCCAACTGTCATCCCAACTGTAAATACACTTTTTAAGAGTGATGTTATTTGCCTCACAAATATATACATTGCAAAATAATCTTTGCTACACCTGCTGAAAAAAGGATGCAGCAGAGATCATTTCAGATCTTTATTAACCAGCAAGTTTTCTTTTTGATTCTCATCTCAGTTGGGGGCCTGCAGCAAGTGAACCACATCAAAAGCTCAGTGTGCTAAAATGCCAGGAGGTCTAATTGATTTCTGCCATTTATTCTACTACTCCATATTTAGTGATGTCACAGCACAGACCTTTACATTTTGAAAAGCAAGCATCTGCTTTGCTGCATGCCAAGTCTAGCTACAGTGTAAGTCTCCTCACCTGTCCTGCAGTTATCACCAAAATAAATTTCTTTAAGTTTGTACAAAGATCACAAAGTACTTTTGTACAAAGATCACAAAGGTCCACCATGAAATTCCGTTAGAGAAAATGTCCTTGCTACTGACATCCACTACTTGATAATACTTCAGCATTATTCCCTTAGACAGACACCAGATAAGGAAAATTTGCCCAGAGCACACATACAAGCCTAGCTGTCTCCTCTTCCTCCAAGCTCCTATGCCTGCAAGCCAGCTATAGAAACGATGCAAACAACAAGCTACATCTTTTGAAAAGCAGGAGTACCACAGGGGCCATCTACAGATTCTGGATGCAATAACTGCTGCAGGAAATCTGGGACTTGGAAGAGTCAGGGTTTTTCCCCTACCTTTCCAAGCACAGCACATACAACAAGCAGGGAAGACTAGTTCCAAACATGTATTTAATCAGCAAGTTCTTCTCCTCTCACAGTTGCATTTGACTTAAATCTCTCAAGCAGAAAGACGCAAACTGAAACAATGGAAGCAGAAAACAAATAATTTGTTCACATTTCAGTGAAAGATTGGTATTTTATGACACTAAATACTCACTGGTATAACTACTCCAGGAATACCCATCTCCTAATTAAGGTCCTGCCTAAACTATAACCAAAGCAACATCTTTGTGACCAACATGCTTAATCTCACTGGACCTTGGTTACTGCATGTGCACTCACAACACAGGTTTTGTGTCATTATAACTGTGCTTCACACACAGGTCATTTTGCCTACCCATATTCTTATCAATACACTCAGCAAACCTCAGTACCTCTCCCAGAGACAGAACCACCAGAGGGACAAGTTACACTGCCAGATAAACAACAACATACTTTGGGACAGTCTACTGCATGCTGAATTATCAGAGGTAGAACCAGTCA